TGTTGGTGAGAGCCATGTCTTCCACCTTAGATTCAGAGGCTGCATTCACTGACCGTGCACAGCAGATTGGACTTGAGAGATGCGTCATTGACAAGATAAGACAGAAGAAGTTTGCAACTTTTGGCCGATTGGCTTTTGGATTTGCATACTCGCCACAGAGTTCAGACGAAGCACCACTCCGTGAATTCTTGACAAACTTGTTGGACGAAGCACCCAGTGATGATCAGCTTGCATCATTGCGTCGATTGTTTTTCGAATCGCATACGATGGCATTGACAGACGTGCGTCAACGGGTCGAATCAAACCCCGACCCTGCAGTGGCTACGCGCAAGCTGCCAACTGCAGAGCGTGTGGCGCGGCAGCAAGCCCAGGAGAAGAGACTGGGGGGATTGGTTTTCAATCCTACAACAATCCCCTCGAATCACTTGGTGGACTTGTTTGTGGACATGGTGGAAACAGGCATTTTAACATATGTCAAAGCTGAGACTTGTTGCAGCAGAGCACAGAAGGTAGAAACGATCCGAAAGGATCCTGCAGTTTCAACTGCTGCTGCAGGCTTATTGAAGCTGGGCACCAACAACACAGATCCGGCCTGTGAGGCCAACACCGAAATGAAATTGAGATCAGCTTGGCAGCGGCGCAGCCTGGCCATGGACCTTGCTGGATTGGCCTCCTTTGAGGTGACCGAGACATGGAACCAATTTTTGTTCACCCACCTTGTCCGTGAACAACCAAAGGGTTTTGCGAAGATCAGCTTGCAACAAATCCTGGACACCGACAAATAGCTGTTCATATTGGCATCTCATCAGACGATGGGGAGATTGTCAAGCTTTCCTGACCAGAAGAAACCTTTGGATGAAGCTTTTGAGAAGTTGAAAGACTCAAATGAGGTTTTGCAGTTTTTGACACCTCTGCCAGCCCAGCGTTCTCATGATGCTCCGGCGGCCGGCAACAACAATGGCAGGCCAACAAAGGTTCCAAAGATTGACAAAGGCGGCAAAGGTGGCAACAAAGGTGGACACCCTTCTCCTTCAGGTCCTTCAAAGCCTCAGCTCCCTGACGGGTGCGTTACGCACGATGATGAAAGGAAACCATTGTGCTTTGCTTTTCAGTCTGGAAAGTGCAAATTCAAAGGACCAGCAGGAAAACGGTGCGCTCGTGGCTATCACAAGTGCTACAAGCGTGGATGCTTCAGACCGAAACCTTACTACCTGTGTAACCACACAGACTGAAGTCCGGATCCACGTGCACCAACAATACAGAATTCAGATCCACCTTTATTTGTGGAAATTTTTGCGGGACGAGGGATCTATGAGACAGTCAGGTTTTTCAGTTTTGAGCATTGACCATGAAAGCAATGGCGCCTTGGTTCCCATAGTCACGTTGGACCTCACTTCCGAAAGTGGCCAGAAGATCCTTTGGGATGTGCTTGCGTCCCCAAACCTTTTGGGGGTGCACATGGGATTACCTTGCGGGACAGCGAGTCTTGTGAGAGAAAAGCCGGTGTCGGCCCAGTTGCAAGCGCAGGGGGCGCCAAATCCTCCACCTTTGCGTTCGGCAACTTGCCCTCTTGGGTTGCCTAACCTCAGTCAATATCACCAAGCAAAGGTGACTAGTGCAAACAAGTTGTATGCCCTGGCAGTTGAGATTTTGCTGTTTTGCGTTGACAACAACATTGTGGTCAGCATCGAGAACCCAGCCAACAGCTGGTTGTGGGCTGCCCTGGTGCAATTGTCACTTCAACACTCAGAAAGTGCAGCACGAGCTTTAAACTGGTTGGAGAAAGTTGTTTTTCATGCTTGTTGTCACGGCTCAACGCGACGTAAAGCAACTGGATGGCTTGGCACACCAAATGTTTACTCAGCACTGGCTGCAACTTGCAACGGTGACCACCCTCACGAGCCTTGGGGAATACGATGGACAGCAGGGTCATGGGTTTTCGACACATCGGCCGAGGCGGCCTATCCAATGCTCTTGGCCCAGCGTGCAGCGGAGTGCATGGTGAAAGTTGCAAAAGATCGGGACCTTACTCTCCAAGCTCCCTTGCGCCTTCATGACATGGCCACCGCAGCCCAGGGCAAGCAGTCGAGGAAGCATCCTCCCCTGATACCTGAGGTCAGCTACACCGTTGGCGCCAGGTTCAAAACTTGTTGCTCCTCATTTAGGGGGTGAAAGTCGGGAGGAGCCAGAACATGCAGTGGAGCAGATGCACAAGGTTGGTTTTTACCATACCCCTAAACAGTTTTTGAGTTTGGCATCCAATGCCCTGCACCCAATGGACACCACTGACCATTTGGAAAAGGTTACAAGCTATGCGTTAGACTATAACCTCAAGTACCCGGCAGAGTTAATAAAGGTTGAGCGGAAGAAGAACCTGCTGCTAGCCAAGTTGGTTGCAGCCCAAACTCAACAGCAGGAAGCGGAGCTTCATGCCTCTTTTCCACCGTCTCTGCAAAAGGTGTTAGCTGGGAAACGCCTTCTTGTTTGGAAGCACTTGCTTGAAAAGTTCGAGTTTGACGACATGGAGGTTTACAGTTTCATGACAAGTGGAGTGAAGCTGGTTGGGGCGCATGACACTCCTACGTGCTTCCCTGAAAAGTTGAAACCTGCAAGTTTGACTCAGCAAGACTTGGAGGCCTCCGCAGTCTGGAGGAGGAAGGCCATTGTAGGGAAGCACAGGAAACATGACGACCCAGCCCACGTGGAGCACTTGGAGCAGACTGCCCAGGAAGAGCTGGACATGGGTTTCATTGTGTCAGAGCGTGAGGTGACTGAACACCTTGGCCATAACAACTTGGATGGTCATCAGACGTTTTGTCCTGGTGCAGGGCGCTGAGTTAAAATTGCGACCAATAGATGACTGCCTAGAAGCTCAACTCAACAGAGGGTTCACCTCCACCTCTTACCTCAAGCTCCAAGACATTGACTATGTGGTTGGTCTGTCACTGAAGATAGCAGAGGCTGTGGTGTCAGGCAAGCAGAAACATGGCACCGGAAACTGGCATGGCAAGTGTTTGGACCTCAGCAAGGCCTACAAACAGCTAGCAGTCCACCCCAGCCATCGCCATTTGGCTGTCATTTTCTACCATGACAAGGACCACCAACCCAGGTTCTATGTTGCGAATGCTCTCATGTTTGGGTCAACAGCAGCTGTCTATGCATTCAACCGCGTGTCAAGGAGCTTGTGGTATCTTCTCAATAAAATGCTTTTGATACCTTGCAGCTTTTTCTACGATGACTACCCGATGTTCAGCCCCACAGAGCTGGCTGAGGATGCTGACAATAGTGCAAGCGAGCTGCTGGATATCCTTGGCTGGCGCCATGCGCGCACCGGACCCAAAGGTCAGCCCTTTGCTGACTCCTTCAACGTCTTGGGGTGCAACCTGGACTTGAGTAAAGTAGCCGAAGGAGAGGTGGTGGCCGGTAACAAGCTGGGCAGAGTTGAACGCTTGATGGAGCACTTTGCTCGCATTAAAGCGGCCGGAAGGTTGAACTTGCATGAGGCGCAGGTGCTTCATGGCCTCTTGCGTTACGCTTGCGGCTTCTTTGCAGGCCGATTTTTGCACCAAGTGTGCGCTGAAGTGATGAACCTAGGCATGGCAGGACTTTATGGACAAGCTTCTAAGCTGGCTGACTTTTGCGATTACGCTACAGGAGTTTTGGGAGGCTGTGTGCCCAGGAAGCTCAAAGTTTTTAGCGAGCGGCGTCCTGTGCTGATATTTACAGATGGTGCCTGGGAGAACGGATGTGCCAGCATTGGCGCCGTCATCATAGATGTTGCAACAGGCGCAAAGTGGGTGCTCTCTGACCGAGTTCCCGAAGCTTTGATATCTGCCTGGAGTGGCCAGGTGGGTGAACAACTTATATGCCAAGTTGAGCTCTATGCAATGGTAGCTGTGAGATGGATGTTCCGTGACTTGCTGAAAGGCCGCAGAACGCTGTGGTGGGTGGACAACGAAGCTGCCCCGTTCAGTACAATAAAAGGGCTTAGCCCCAGTGTTACCATGCGAGTGCTGGTGCGTGAGTTCTACAGTTTTGAGCTTAGCCACCCTACGTTTAGCTGGATAGAGCGGGTGTCATCCTTTTCTAACCCGGCTGATGGACCTTCAAGGTTTGCACCAGAAGAAATCCAATCTCTCCTGAATGTTGATATTTGCCATCCCTTTCAGCACGCGCCTGAGCTCATTGCCAAACTTTGCAACAACTCGCTGGTCCTTAGAAAAGGGGGGTGATTTGCCGACCAGCTGGAATACTGTGGTACAAACCGATGACGCAGTAGCCAGAATGGAAAATGCAATCAGAATAACCTGACAGATGTTCCAGAACATCCTCAACATGAATTTCTCCCCGGACCTCTTGCATAAGCAAGGCTGTGGTCAAAAAAGGCGCGAGTGTTTTGCACATGTCATTTCAGCTGCAATATTTTTCAATCAGTTTGATCGGACTTATTTGTCACGGAAGCTGAACCGTTTTTCGACACAGCGTTTTTCACGAAGGATCCAATATTTGTATGTGGCAGAACAATCACGTGTTTGTTTGCGAGACGTTTGGAGGGTTCGGCGGTTTTGCATTTGGGTTCGTGTGCGTGCGTGGCTGACGTGTCATCTTGTGTGGCAGAGTTTTTGGGCGTAGTGTAGAGTATGGGTAAACAGACTTTTGTACTTGACAGGAGAAGGTAATTTCTGCTTGCAGACAATACTTTCTCTCTGGCGTACTAAACAGGGCTATTGTATAGCCCGGTCTGTTCCTCCCATCCTCTTTTCTACACTAGCGCTTTCTCTGCCAACGCGTCCTTCTCCTTCGCGCGCATGCGTAACCCGTGGAAGCCGATCCACTTGTGGAAACCCAAAATGTTCCTCAACAACAAACCTCCAAACAAAATGTGTTTGTCGCATGAGACTTCACCTTATGTTTGCAAATGCATTACGATGGAATGCAACTTTCCTCTCAAATAGGGAGGGTGGGTGGGTGCCCCACGATTTGTGTGGTTTCGCTTAGCTATGGGGGACAGGTGCTGCGATTTGCCTCCGTGCATTGCTTGGCAAAGTTATTCCAACAGTGCCCTTCTTCAGACAGTGCAGGAGATCACCAGCGTTTTGCAGGAACGTCTGCAAGCTCCAGCGACTTCCAGGCCTGAGACTGGCACCTCTGGAGCTCAAGGCAGTGCAGGGTCCGCCAACGAGCAGGGCTTGGTGAGACCGTGGAGTTGTGGCTTCACCTGCCGCTGGTGTGCAAGCGCTTGCACTCGAAAGGAGGGTCACACCTATCACTCCTGCTACGAGCATAGACATCGACGATGAGGAAAAGATGGAAGAGCAGGTTTGGAGGGGCAGACAATGCAGCAGATGACAGTCCAACTTCTATGCCGGTTAGTCTGCCTGAGGATGTTGAAAGCGGTGATGACGTTTTTGGCAGTACAGGTGCTCAGTTTGAGATGACTGGTGAACAATTTGAACCAATGCATTCATGGGAAGATTTTGAACACCTGGAATCATGTGCAAAGGACGCCAATACTTTTCCTCCTGTTTTTCCTGGTTCTTTTGCTGCACAGCGTGATACTGGAGACCATGTCAAGTTTGTGGACAAAGGTACCTCTTCAGCAAAAGTGGAGCCTGGCAGGTTGGAGCGAGTTGCGTCAGCTGCACCTCCTGGGATCGTTTCAGAAGCATTGCGTCTTACAGACAAGAAGACGCTTTTGTACCCATGGGAGAAAGGTAGACTTGGGCGCATCTTTGGACAGCAAGGGCGCCTTTCATTAAAGAAGCCCAAGTTGAATCCAGGGGTCAACAATTTTGTCAACGTGGGCATTGGTATCTCTGATGGATTTCATCTTGATGGAACGGTGACAGTGCAAACTACGCTGCATGAGGCGGCTTTGTACAAGGCCGTGGTCAAGAACATTGTAGGTTGCACATTCACTGAAGAACGTGCATCTCAAAGAGAACATGCATTGCATCAATGGTGGGACTTGCTGCGTTTGAACATGGCTGCAAGTGACCCGGGCCGTGCTGCAGTTCAGGAGAAGGGCCTCTCCGAGGTTTTCAGATATGGGCTAGAGCTGCTTGACGCCACCTTCGGCCTCAAAAGTCCCGGCACATTACTCAAAAGACTTTGTGCCATCAAACTCTTCAACCAGTGGCAGATGCGCAATTTCACAGAGACCTGGATCCCATTCTCTGAACAACGTGTTTGGGCCTACATGCGCGACTTGAAAGAAACCAAGGCTCCCGCTTCGAGAGCAGTCAGTCTTCTGGAGTCTATACGCTTCTGCCATTATGTGCTCAAAGTGGACGGTGCCCTGAGCGTATTGGAAAGTTTGAGAATCAAGGGACTAGCAGCTCAGCTATATGCAAACAAAAGACCATGGCGTCCTTCTGATGTGCTCACAGTGAATGATGGAGTTTTTACACCACTGTTTCAAAGACCAGAATGTGTGCGAGGTTGACCGCATCTTCATTGGTCACCTTCTGCATATGCTGTATGCTCGGGCTCGCTTCAGTGACTTGCTGGCGGTGACAGAGCTCTTCATTGACGCTGAGGGTGCTTACATTGAAGTGAGCGCAACCTTGCACAAGGGGGCCAGGAGTATGGACGCGAAGTCGAAGTTGCTTCCGATTGTGGCTCCTGCAGTTGGCATCAATGGTGACAGTTGGGCAAAGGAGTACCTGGAGCTGAGACACAAGCTCGGCCTGAAAGATCCGGGTAGCACAGCCACGCCAATGTTGTTGGCACCAAAGCCCGGAGCCATCGGTTGGGAAGACAGGTATATCACATCCCAAGAGTTGAACTCGTTTCTCAAAAGGATTTTTGCTTCTGGAGGTAGGCCCATTGCAGGGCGAAAAATCACCACACATTCGTTGAAGGCCACTGGATTGTCTTGGTGTTCGAAGCTGGGCATCTCCGAAGAACACCGTGCCATCCTTGCCAGGCATGCGAAAAGTGTGCAAGGTGCAACTGTTTTGTACTCGCGTGATTTGCTGTCCAGTGCATTGCGATCCTTTGAGCGGGTTTTGCAGTCCATCAAGGGACAAACATTTCACCCTGACAAGTCGAGGTCTGGCATGATAACACCTGCCAGGGCCACGCCTGCTGGTGCTCCTTCTACGCCGCTCCCTCCAGTGGCACCTGCGTTGGGCACCGTGGGCGCTGCAGCAACTCCCTTTGACATGGCAGGTGAACATCTTGTTCGAGATGTGCAGGAAGCTGGCAAGCAAGTGGACTTGGAGCACTTGCATGATCGTTTCAGGGCTGGGTACGAAGATTACTCGCCTGGGACCGCTGTGAACTCTCCTGCAGTCAAAGAGGAATTTGTCTGGCCAGACGTGGAGTGGGATGGTGCCGTCATTGACCTCGAAGAACAGCACGACCTCCTCACTGCTTGGCAGTCAGGCTCGGAAGAAGAGTCCAGTGGATGCTCGGACTCCAGTGAGGACACAGACTTTGAATGGGACTTGGATGAAGAAGACGATGCAGAAGTCCCGAAGCGCGGTGGCGTAGTCGTCAAGTGGTTTATCAATGTGAAGACGAACGTCATCCATGAAAAGCGCAATGAAACCACTTTCAGGTGTGGCAGACCGATGAGTCAGACCTATGTGGCTGTGCCTGCACTGACAGGCCTTAGATGTGGAACGTGCTTTGCGCATAGCATCTGATATCACCTCTTGCGAGGCCCTGTGGTATGAAAAAGAACGGGCATTGCAGCCTGTGTCGTTGTTGTTTGTCAACAACGTTGTGCAAATGTGCATTTTTTTGGGGCTGGTATGTCCAGCCCAATTGTCATTTATGTAATGACACACATGAAGGAATGTATGCGTTCCATGGATTCTTGCCGTGATCTTCACGTTGAATATGTAGGTTTGGCCTCATTTTTTCCTGAGTTATTTCTGATTCCTCCCTCTCCTGTTGATTTGTGATTGCTTGTTTAGGTGCCTCACGGTTGATGTTGTCGGCATGTCACATGGATTCAGTTGCTTTGATTCTTTGCTTATCAGTTTGATCACTCGGTGTTTGTCACCGGAGTTTGGTTCAAGATGACAGGTATCCAAGACAGCGAGGCGCATTTCATCGCCCGGGCAACTGAATATGGGTTGCCTAGGAACTTTCTGGATAGGTTGAAAGCCCAAGGTGTTTCAACGTTGGGCCATCTTGCTTTTGCAGTGTTTAGGCCAGGTTCAGAATTTGAGGAGCGTGCATTCAATGACTGGGCAACTGACATCAACAATGGTGTCCCATTACCTATGGGTGCGGCAGCTGCGTTGAGGCGTTTGCATTTTGAGAGTGAAGTTGTTCTCACATCAACCATTCGTGCTTCAGTGGAATCACCTGATCCCGGCACACCAAAGACAGTGCCATTTGCTGAGAAGACTGCAAGAATGGATGAGTTACGTGGACGTTTCCAAGGATTGAACATTCATGGGATTGGAGAGCCTTCACATGCACTTTTGGATGAGGTTTGTTCACAGTTTGAGACACGTGTTTTAAAATATGTTGAGCCACAACGCTGCACAAGCAGGGAGCTTGAAATCACCACTGGAAGATCGGATAAAAAGCTCAAGCTTGATGCGGGTACCTTGGCCATGTGTGCTTTAGGGGCGGATGCTTCAAATTGCACCCATTCAAGGAGGCGCATGCTGCTGAAGTGCCAAAATCCAATGAATGACTACCGCCTGCAGTTGAAGGTGTCGATCAAGGTTCTCATGCAGTTGTGCTTGAGTTGTTTTGTGGAACGGCTGGCCTTAGCGCCTCTTTGAGACAAATGGGCTTTGAGGTTATAGCTGTAGACAAGATTGTTTCAAAGTCACCTAAGGTGATGGTTACAAAACTGGATCTGACTCAGCATGCAACACAACAGCTTGTTTTGGAATGGATTCGACTGCCACAGGTTAAAGCAGTATTCGTTGCTCCTCCTTGCGGCACTGCAAGCAAAGCAAGAACAATACAATTGGAAGGTCAGGATAACTTGCCACAGCCGTTGCGTACAATGGAATTTCCCGATGGGGTAGATGGCTTGACTGGTTGGAACTTTTTGCGTGTGGAACAATCAAACATCCTTTATGACTATGTTTCTCAGGTATATATGGAGTGCTGTCAATTGGGTAAATTGTTTGTGTGTGAAAACCCCAAGGACTCACTTTTCTGGCAGGTAACGCCTTGGGTTGAGCGTGATTTCCAGGAACTCTCTGTGGAGCAATGGACCAGGCATGCGCTTATGGATCGAAGCGACCCAAATGGACCAAATTGGTTGCCAATTTTTCTGAAATTCAACAGATCAATAAGACATGCCCTGGCAACCATCAGCATGAACCATGGGGTATTCAACTACAAGGATCCAAGAGAGTCTTTGCTACTGCCTTGGAGGTGCACTATCCAACCCAATTATGCGATGCACTTGCAGAAACAATTGCTCTTGCATTACAGAAGCAAGGGATTGCGCCCACTGCCCAGTTTTCTTTGAATAAAGGTGCGCGTGCGTTTACAAACTTGCAAGCAGGCACCTCCAAAGTTCCAACATTTGTGCCTGAATACAAGAACCGTGTTGTGACAATCTGGCACAATGATTTGCAAATTTGGCCAAGCCACTTGGCCATACCTCCGCTTTCAAAATTGCTGCATGAAATTCAAGTGGGGGGAGATGATCTGCAGCTGCTTTGCAAAGCCGTGAATGAGCAGTGCATTTTGAGGAAGTTACATGTCAGTGTTCATGAATGTGATTTTTCAGTTGATGCTGCATCTTTTTCATTTCCTTGCGTGGTTTGTGTGAAAGTTTTTGGAATTTTCTGAAGTGACGTTGAGTTTGTGGAGCAGGCCCTCACGTCCAAACATCCACTTGATGTTGCACTTGCGTTACCATGTGAATTGCGTGAAGCTGTGGATTATAACCTGAAAACGCCTGCACATAAAATTGCACTGGAAAGAGCCAGATTTTTGGCTACCTGGGCCAAGCGCGCCAAAGAGCTTGCTAAGGATGAACTGAGGCTGAAAGAAAGCATGGACCCAGAAGTTGCGAGAGCGGTTTCCAGCAAAAGAATTCTTTTATTTGAAGAAATTTTGAAGTCCACCAGTTTTCCTGACATGGATGTTGTGAATGAATTGAAACAAGGTGCCAAACTGACGGGCACTGTGGATGAGACTGGCATGCTTCCGGGTAAATTCATCCCAGCCCTTTCTACAGTTGAAGAACTCTGTGCAAATGCAGCCAGAATCCGACCGAATCTCCTTGCAGAAGCCTCGGGGTCAGGCGACAGCCATATCGACGAGGTCGTGTGGACCAAGACCCTGGAAGAAGTTGAGAAGGGTTGACTGTTGGGCCCTTTGCAGCAATGCGAGGTGCCCGACAGCCACCCCATCTCACGCCGGTTCGGCTTGTTGCAAAAGAAGGGCAAAGTTCGACTCATAGATGATTATACAGAATCTGGCGTGAACACTTGCGTCACGACGGTTGAGTCGCCGGTCCTTCACACCATTGATGTAGCGTGTGCATTGCTTGCTTTGTGGTTTGATACTTGTGAGGAGCTTGAGCTTAATTCAGCAGTGGTGGCGAGAACATTTGATTTAACGAGCGCATACAGACAAGTTGCATTGAGCAGTGAAGGTAAGAATTTTTCTTGCATCAGGGTATTTGACCCTAACTCTGGCAGCATGCAACTCTTTAGGAGTCTCGTGCTTCCTTTTGGTGCCATAAGGAGCGTTCATGCATTCTTGCGTTTGGCGCGGGCTATATGGTGGATAGGAGTCGTTGGCTGCAGAATTCTTTGGACCTCATTTTATGACGATTACATTGCTTTCAGCAGTCCAGCGTTGATCACATGTACAGAGACCACCATCAGTTCTTTGTTCAAATTGCTTGGATGGGCTTTTGCGGAAGAAGGTGACAAATGTTCACCGTTTGATAACCTTTGCGAAGCACTTGGTGTCATGTTTGACTTACACAATTCTTGCCGTGGCTCAGTATTTGTCCAGAACACTGAGTCCCGGGTGCGAGAGCTGTGCAACGATCTCCAAGAGATCATAACTGGTAATGTGTTGAGCTCGAAACAAGCGCAGAGATTGCGCGGGCGTATGCAGTTTGCAGAAGCACAGATGTTTGGCCGCACTGGTCGAAGATGTCTTAGAGTCCTGAGTGATTTCGCTGAAGGGCGCAGACACAAACTGCAAACCAAAGACATCTTCTTTCTGCGTTTGTTCAGGGAATTGCTGCAGAGCAACGTGCCAAGAGAAATAAAATCACTTTGCAAAGAGAACGTCATCATCTTTACAGATGCATGCTATGAGCCTACAGACAAGATATGGCCTTGTGGTTTGGGTGGAGTCTTGTGTATTGATGGAGAGCTTGAATTCTTCTCTGTGCCGGTTGACCGCAATGGTCGCAATGCTTTAGGTGAAGAGTCTAAGAAACAAATCATCTTTGAAGCAGAGACCCTTGCCGCGGTTTTAGCCTTTGCACTGTGGAAAGAATGCTTCAGCAACAGGCGTTGTGTGATCTTTGTTGACAATGAAGGAACCAAGTTTTCTTTACTTAAAGGGTCATCCGACAACTCCACAGTGGATCTCCTTGCAGGTCTTTTTGCTGAAATGGAATCAAACATTCATTCTTTCACTTGGCTGGCACGTGTACCTTCGAAGAGCAACATTGCAGATCCTCCTTCCAGAAACGATGTGTCGGCAGAAATTTTCCAAAGAACCAAAAATGTTTCAGCTAATGCTTTTTCTTTACCCAATGGCATTGTCACGAGAATCACTGAGAATGGGGTGACGGAGCTCGTGACACGCCATAGTCGCAAAAGAATCAACTGCAGCTGATTTGTTCTTGTGAAAGGGTTTGCAACATAATGTGTTTGTCGCATGAGACTTCACCTTATGTTTGCAAATGCATTACGATGGAATGCAACTTTCCTCTCAAATAGGGAGGGTGGGTGGGTGCCCCACGATTTGTGTGGTTTCGCTTACCCACCGCCATCCCCTTCACCACCAGCAGTTTACTTTGCATGCCGCTTTCAACTGCAGCTGATTTGTTCTTGTGAAAGGGTTTGCAACATAATTGTTTTGTTCAAATGCCTTAAATCTTTTTGAGTGAATCGAATCTTTGTACTTCTGATGTTTCTTGGTTTTCCTGAAACCGATCAGACAACCAGAAACTTTGTCATGTCAAATCTTTCAGACATCAATTCAATCTTTACTGTTTAATATCTTGAGGATCTACATCTCGGGTAGCAACCCTGGTTCAAGGGATAGGTGGGCGGGTTTTCCATTGAAATTTTGGAAAGCACAGAAATCGTCCCACCCTTTTTCCCACCCGATTTCTGTCCTGTCCTCTTTTCTGTGTTGGGGGGGTGATTTGCCGACCAGCTGGAATACTGTGGTACAAACCGATGACGCAGTAGCCAGAATGGAAAATGCAATCAGAATAACCTGACAGATGTTCCAGAACATCCTCAACATGAATTTCTCCCCGGACCTCTTGCATAAGCAAGACTGTGGTCAAAAAAGGCGCGAGTGTTTTGCACATGTCATTTCAGCTGCAATATTTTTCAATCAGTTTGATCGGACTTATTTGTCACGGAAGCTGAACCGTTTTTCGACACAGCGTTTTTCACGAAGGATCCAATATTTGTATGTGGCAGAACAATCACGTGTTTGTTTGCGAGACGTTTGGAGGGTTCGGCGGTTTTGCATTTGGGTTCGTGTGCGTGCGTGGCTGACGTGTCATCTTGTGTGGCAGAGTTTTTGGGCGTAGTGTAGAGTATGGGTAAACAGACTTTTGTACTTGACAGGAAAATGAACATTTCACCAAGATACTTTCATGGGGTGCTCTGCCATCAGCATTGGAAAACACAATTCTGCCAAGACATCAAGAAAACAAATTTATTTGCATGATTTTTTTAAAATCAAAACATCCCAACACCAACAATACAACAAAAACAAAAAACATACTGAAACCAAATTCTTCGGACCCGAGTAAACCAAGAAAAACATAAATAATTGAAAACCAAATCTTGGGTTATTGGGGGAGTGTTCCGTTTTTGTCGTTACTTTTTGTTAGTTGTTTTCGGAGGCGTGTAAAATTTGCTGGTAAAATAAACAAAGTCATTAACATGCGCACAGGTTCACAAAGTGTGTTGCAATTTTGTAATGGTTTGGCACTTGTTGATACGAGCAGTCGTTTGCTCAAAACATGTGGTACATGGCATTGGTTTATTTGGGGGGTGTAGTCTTTTATTTTTCTTTTTGGATTTAAAACACATTGTCAATGAAAAAAACATTTTTTGATAGTTTGCAAAAAATACCAGGTGTGTAAGCAGGTTGCCTTCTTTTGTGGTGTTTTTTCAATGTCAATATTGCCCGGGTTTTGAAGGACATTCATATTTCTTCATTTTTTATATAATTGGGCAGAAACCTATAGCCATTGTTCTTAAACAATATTTTCAATTCATAACACACTGTTTTGACTATTGTCTTTATAATATTTCACGTATCGCAAATTTCCAAAATTAATGCATGTGGTGGAAATGGGGCGTTTTCATTTTGAAAAATGTCAATGGGTGCAGTGGTTGATACAAAAAAAACGTCAACTAATAGAAAACAATGACATTTTTCCGTTTGGAATCGTCTGGTTCTTGTGAGGTAATAACATTTTGTTTTGACATGTGAACGTTTGAAGATAAATGCAGTGGTGCTTTGCGAAAATGGTTTATGAATTTGTGTATTGGAAATATGTGTTTACATCAAGGATACAAGTGATGCAACATATTTTGTTTTTGTCGTCTGTAGGTGTGTCAAATTCAAACAACGAATCGCGTTTGTTGGGTTTTCTGGATCGAAAAATGACTGGTGAACTGTAGTTCAATTCAAATGATCATGTTTTCGTTGGTCGGACATTGTTGATTTTGTTTCTAAATAAGATTTGGTCATTGTTTCCCAATTTCATTTTGTTTTGTATTGGTGTTTTCAAAAAATAAATTGGCCCAAAATTGTCGTGAAATAAGGGTTTTTCTTGGTAATCATTGCGTTGTGTCAGTTCAAAGAACGTTCAAATCCAACACCTGTTCGGGATTTTAGATGAAATGAAATTGTCGATTACATTTTTTCTGGTTCCGTCGAATTCACATTTTTGTGTTTCTGGTGATTTTGCATATCTGATCTTTCATTGGTTGCAATTGGAATCAATTCGGATGCATTTCGTTTCTGAAAATGACCAATCGCCAAACACATCTGAATCAACAGTTTGATGCTTTCATACACACATTTGTTGATGGCAAGAAAATGACCCAACACCTAACACTACAACATTTTGTTTTATTTCCTCATGGTTTTCTGCAGGTTCGAAAACTGTCCCAATCGGAAATTCCTTGTGATTTGTTCCATTTTCTAGTGGCTCAAAGACAAGACAAATAAGTTGTACACGAGTGTGACATGGCAGCAACTTCTTGGCGGAATCTGTTCGTCATAGCTGCCTTGGTTGCTGTGACCAAGGTAACTACTAGCACGTGGCGTGATGCTTTCTCTGCACCACCAAGAAACCTTGTACGTCGAAGTGCACAAACTGCCAAGGGTCCAGTGATGGAGGTGGAAATTGAGACAGTTCCGGAAACACAAGATCCAATTTTGAAACCCGGTGGTTTGAACAAAACAAATGACATTGCTGACGTTGCACAGAAAGAAGAGAGGGAAAAGAGGGAACGCGTTGTTGCAAAGACAGCCGAAACCAAAAAAAAAGTGGAGGAAAAAAAAAACGTTTGCAATCGGAAACCAAGTCAGAGGGTCAAAGCGAGCAGCCATTGATTGATTGGAAAGGCCTTGCCACACAATCCAAGAAGATGGCCGAGGACGCTCGCAATGAAGCTGCTTCGACAAAGAATGAAGTGGAGAGTTTCACAGCTGAAGCGAAAGAAACATTCTTTCAGCTAGCAGCTGTCGGCCTGGAAACTGCTTCTGGAGTCCCTCCACTGATCTTGGCAGCTTCTGCAGGTTTTCTGACCTTGGTTTTGGTTCTTTCACTTGGAAACTCCAAGCCGGCCAGTGTGAACACTCCTTCAAGGGCGACCTCTGCTCCTACCATTGTTAGTGTCAAGAGCCCTCCACCAGTGGTGCCATCGACTCCAGAGATTGCACAGGCTCCAGAGGCTAAATTGACAAGTGAGCCATCAGTCCCCCCTGCGCCTCCCGCGCCAGTCTTGAAATCAACTCCATCACCATGGGCTCGTGGCTTCACAAATTCAGCAGCAAATACCCTTCGGTCAATCGCAGATGGTTTGCCCGGAGCAGAACAAGCTGTTGAAGATGAGTTGCCAGTGGTTCAGTCAGCCTTCCAGTGGGCTTCTGGTTTGAACTCCGACAATGCGACCCAAAAAGTGGAAACTGATGTGCTCCCGGCCGTTGGCAGGGCAGCTGAAGGAGCTATCAGGCTTGGTCTCCAGGTAGGAGCCAGTGGTCTTGAATTTGTGGGGCAGAACTTACCAGCAGCAAATGAGGTGCTTGGAAAAGTGGTGGACACAGGCATGCCATATGCCCAATCCGCCTTACATGATGCTGCTGCCAATGCAAGACGATTGGCTGCTGAAGGTATTTCCGTAGGAGATGCATCAAACCCGTATTTACAGGGTGCTGCTTCGTCAGTCCCAGAGATTTTGAAAGCCACAGCAGGTGCATTAGATGCTACCGCCGACATGGCGCCAGCAGTGAAATCAGCCGTTGGATACGTGGCAAATGCAGCAACTCCTGTCGCTCAGGCTTTTTTATCAGCTGCTTCTGATTTGGCAAGAGATACCTCCGAAATTCCTGCGAGCACAGTAGAAGGAGGTGTTGCAAATGTGATCGAAACAGCAAAAGCTGTTGCTCCTGATGTTGCCAACAGTGCCAAGCAGGCTCTGAGCGCCGCCATTCAGGTTTCCAAGGCGCCAGAAGTGACAACTGGCGCAAGTGGCTCATAGGAGTATTGAAATTACAGCAGACCTGCCTGAAACGGTCCCCAAAGGATGAGTCAAACTTTGTTTGTGAGTATTGTATTATATTGTCTTCTTGTATGTGTTGTTTATTTTTTGCAACGTAGATTGTAGCTGTGTGCTTGGACCAAGTTCATCCTTTGCCATCATTGGCAACAAATGCCAGAAAGACCAGATGCTATTTTTAATGTCCCAATCAGCACCTGGCTTCGATTGACGAAAGACCCATACCCGTGGTGAAAGGAGACTTTTTGCGTAAAGTGAGACAGTGAGAGGTGTCCCTTGATTTCATGCAAGCTATGGAGCGCGCTTCCACTTGTCCGTTGGTTTTGGATCAAAATCAGTCTTGTTTCAAGATGCGATTTTACTGGATCGTTGCTGCTTTCCTGCCATGGTTGGTGCCTGGCAAGAAGCAAAAAACTGTAGTGGTTCGGCTGACTGATGGGCAACCAGACTCCACCAAGAAAGAAAAGGCGCGCCTTTTCATATGCTAGGGTGTTTCTTTGTCGCCGTGCTTGATGCTGGTTCTTGTGCTGGGGCCACGAGGCATTTACGGAATCTGTGAACAACTCACGATTTGCCCTAGTCAACTTTAATTCGTTGGAGCCTTATTTCTGGACATTTGGACATCAGCTTTCACAAATACAAGGTCAGTTCCAAAAGTCAGCGCAAGCAAAGTTACAGCAATCTCCACAAAATGAAAGGCGAACACTCCTGCATTATCAAGTGCGTTGATGCTTTGTTCTCATGATGGACTCACTTCAATCCTCGATAGCGGTTGCAACAGTTTTCCTCCAAGGTTTAGACCATCTTGCAGCGAATGCCAAGACTTGGAGACGTCAATGAAAGAGGCAAGGGACTCGGGATACTACAAGGATGCGACAAGAGTCCTAAGGTTCCTTGTACACTTTAGACAAATCCTTGAAGTACAGTACATGTAAGCCATCCTGAGAATCCTGATTTCTCCTGTATTTTTTGATCCAAGGTGGCCAAGAGGTTCAGGAAGACAAAGAAGAAGATCCTCTGCGCTAGTCTTGATGGTGAACTAGCTGTCAACCAGAAGGTGAAGGAGGCGAACAATGTAAGTAGCAACTTGGCAAACGCCTGGAATGGTGCGCCAAATTCACTAGAAACAGTTCGGACCAACTTGTATGATCATTTGTGATGATTGCAATTTGTTTGATCCTTGTTGGTTGTCTCCCACACACCCACACGCCATCCATACATTCAATACTTGAATTCTTGTCTTCAATCTAGCTGAAGGCTGAAGGGTTTTTCAGGCATGCATACCTTCGACAGAGATCCTGATGCTGGTCCTTTTTTTGGTCCCAGAAAAGAAATTCAAGGCCTACCAACGCTGGTCTTCTACAGAAGCGGCTATGCAATATCAAAGCAGGAAGGCTATCAGAATCCCGCCACGATTGAAACATGGGTGCCTTGGCAAAATAACGAGGAGTTCGATGAGCTGATTGGCATTGCTTTCACAAGAATGATCTTGTTCCGTCTTGTTCCAATAGTTTATGGTGGGCTTGTGACGGCTTGTGGTTGTTTTTTGTTTCCTGAGGTGACCGGAGTTGCTGGCCCTGAAGTTGAAGAGTTTGATACTTGTCTTATCTTGTCTTGGTGAAGATGCTACGAAAATTGATTCTGTTTTGAAGTCTCTGCTTGACCACACCTGCAGAAGTGTTGAGAATTGGTTGATTCATACCTTCATGTTTTTCGATGCAACCCTGGGATTGAAATGTTTCAGCCGTTGTTCTGTATCATGATTCAGGCTTGGCAAACAAACTTACAGCATGCAGGGCTTTAGTTTAGTTACGCCTCGCAAGAACTATATAAGGTTTTTCATACCACCAACGATTGCTCCTCTTAAATGTGTTTCTTTGCCGCTGTGACTAAAGTGGGCTGGAGCCAAAATCCACCATTATGACAAGTACGTTGTGACAGCAAAACAAAACTGTGTAAGACCGTTTGAATTTGGGCGAGAAGGGGTCAAGCACGTATGTTTGGCTATTGAAACCAATCAACACACCCTTTCAGATATTTGCTGGTCTTGTACTGTTGAGTCCAGAGATGCCCAATCAACGGTGCTGTTAGTAGTTTAGAAACACCGGTTTCTTCTGTATTTTGATACCAACGTATGTTCCTGTATATATGACTATCTCTGATCGCTTTATGTCACCCTCAAGCACGTTCATGCGGCGGACCGGGTGCGCGTGAGAGTGAGAGTGAGAGAGAGAGAGAGAGTTGATTCTTCCCAGGAAACACAAGCGGCTTTTGACAAAGCTCTAAAAGCTCGCGAGTCGCAAGAAGTTGTATTTGCAGCAATTGGTGGTCCAAGACTAAAGGACATGCTGTGACATGCTTCATTGTTCGTCCTTCCTTTTTGCTCGCATACTTCCCGACAAGCTGTTTCTTATTGGTAAACTTACTTTGGGTGTCATAGGAGCTATTGGATATGGTGGCTTTCAAGGGCCACAAAGAAGGTTGGGGTACCAAGCTACTTGGCAGAATTGGCACAGTTCAGCGCATACTTTGATTTTGTCTTTTTCCAATGGTTCCCGCACCCTGAGAGGATTCGATATTTCTTCTGGTCAGATGGCGGTAAGGGCAGGTGCACCGGTTGTGCAAGATCTCTTGCAGAACAATTATGATTCCCGCAATTTCCTCCAACAAGCAGGCCGTTTGCTGCCGTTTATCGTGGTCTGAATGAAATGGACTGGGGCTGAGCTCATTTTTCTTTCATTCCTTTTGTGGCAAATCTACTTGCGGAAGTGACAATTGACAAGTTCCCGGCGAAAAACATCAGGAACACTTTGACGCCTCGGGTCAAGTTAGCACGGAGACCATCGAGGAATTCCTTAAAGAGCAATATGTGTCAGCCACCCAGTGCCACCCAGCTACTGGGAATCTAAGATAATCTAAGATAATCTAAGTACTTTCACTTTTTGAGCGATTGCTTCTATTTGTTCCATCAAGCACCCAAGTGCAAAACGGTCATGCAGAGATATGCTGACCTAACAGTTCTTCATGCAGCATGCTAAGGCCAACTTTCTCGCAGGCGGGACCCTTGTGCAGGGAACAGTGAGATTGTGTGTTTTGCTTTTGCGCAGGTGACTGCGGCTGATATGAGCGGAATGTTTGGTTCTGGTTCCAAGGCCTGTTTGCTGTGTTTTAGGTCATGTTTTTTGATAGACTGAGAGACTGATAAATAAAAGATCTTTGTCAGCTTTGCCCAAATCGTTGCCGAGGGCAACGTCTTTGTTTGCTTTGATCCAGCAAACTTCCAAGCTCAAGTTAAAAAGTGCCCCTGGGAGGATAGAAGCAAAACCTTGCCTTTGCAGTGATTCAGGGTTTGGCATTTTTTTTGCTTTTTTTCTCTTTCGGCCAGGTACACCAGGGTTTTCATCAAAGCTGCCAAGAAGTTTCGGGGCTATGGATTTTCGTACTTTGATGCGAGTGACCAATTCAGCGACCTCATCAGCATCAAGTGTCAGGACTGCTGATGTTGCGTTCTTCCAGATGTATGTTAGAGATGAGATGAACATGAAAAATGGCTTTTCCCAGCCACTTCCTTAGACTTTTTTGAGGATAGTGGTAGTCGATACATGAGGGATAGATGTTAAATTTTTACGTGGGAAGCTGGGAACAAACCAGAAACTAGATAGAGAGTGTCATGATCTAAAATAATGAGCCGCTGTGAGGACTTTCCATCAGTATCTTTCAAGCCGCTGAGAAAACCATTCAAGTCCTACTTCAAATCCTTTGCACACATCGCCGACACGCTGAATGAGAAGCACATTATTGAGCCTCCTGACTTGCATTGTTACGTATTATGGCGTATGGTGTATATTTGATGTACAAGGATGTTGTATTGAAATGCATTGAAGGATTGACGAGCAGACCCTGAATCTACCTCCATAAAGTCTGTTTGTAGCGCCTGGTTGTCCGCTGCCCACCTCACCTACCTGCTGAACTCACAAATCGAATTCGAACTCGGTCCGTTCAAGGTTCATGAAAGAGTCCATTGCAACTCACCGGGCTTTGGGATCAGAGTTGTGAACATCGCTTTTCCTCTGGGCAAAGTTCCCAAGAAGTCTGCAGTGCCACAGACACGGTTTGCTTCGAAGAAGCACTTCTGATGACCAACTCTCATCAACCGCTTCAGTGAAGTGTTTGGAAATACCTGTCTCCCAGCGCTTTCCTGAGCAAGTGTTCCTTGGACCGGACACAGCATGTGAGCAGCAGGATCATGATTAGCGGGATTAGGTTCTCTGAATTGCTTGTGTTGATGGTTCTGGAAGGGCCCAAGCACAGGAACTGATTGTGCTAGGGAGCATTCTCAGCAATGAAGTGAAGCAAATTCGCCCATGCAATAACACCAGTGAGATAAATGTTTCCATGGGAAGTAAGAAAGCTGTTTTTTCTTCTCAGAAAATGATGTTTTTCATAGAGCTCAATTCATTTTTGCTGCCGTAAATGCAAACCACCGAAAACATGAATGATGTAAATTCAGACATGTACTGCAACAACACCTGTCAGCTCTCAAGTGGCTAGCTAGTGGCTATGTCCTGGCTATCAGATACCCTTGGCAAAGTTCGGGAGCACCGATCTCAGAAGTCAATTGATGTCCATTAGATATTGAGCAGAAAAAGCAGGCACAAGCCTCAGGCCATTCACAGTACAGAGTACAAGTCAAAAAATGGAAAGATATGGAAAGATGTACCAAAATGTGAAGACAAACCTTGGCTGTTGTTTAACAAGATTCCGTCGCATTTAGTCTTAGGCCTTAGGTGCCTTCTCACATGTCACTGAAGCTGGGGGGAACGGTGCAGGCAAGGCAGCTCCTTGGTAACTGCGGCGAAGCAAGCCACGCAGCTGCAAAATAGAAGAACATTTGACAACATTTGAAAACTGCATCAGCAACGGGCTCAACAACTGTATCAAGGTCGATGCCTTGAAGCCGTTGGCTTTTCTCGGCTATGCTAGGAATGCACAACTGACATCAGCTGACATCAACTGACACCTGCTTCCTGAGGTCAAACATCGGCTTACTTCCGAGCAGGGTGATGCACAGTTGGAGTCACAAGCGTTTGGAATCCCAGATCTGTGGAACGCTGCCAAGTTGAGCAGGGTTTCATTTCTCACAACCCTTCTACTCGCTGGCATGAACAATTGCAGTACGTGTTTCAACCTTGCCTGCCACTTTTGTTACAACCAGTTCCAACATTATCTCATCCAACGCCAAGGAGTTTCTGTTCCCTTCTTTGGAGCCGCCAAAGAGGGGTAATGCGTCCGATGGGTCAAATCACTACGATATTTGTCCGACCAGCTAGTCTGGCAAGCTAGTGATACCGTTTGTGATGATACTAGGCGGTGAACTTGGTGAACTATCATTTTCCCCTGTTGTCACATTACATCGCACATTGGTAACACAATTTCCATCCTAGCCGAATCCTATCTCCGGAATAATCATCCCATTCCATTCATCCCATTCAGCCCTCCATTGAGGCTGGCTGCCGTTGCTGCTGGCCCCAACGCGGTGGAGCAGCTATGCCAGGCCTGGTCCAGGCAACTCAACACCGCGGCCAGCGTGTCGGGCGGTGATGGAATCTCCAAGGATCAGTGCTGCTGACCTGTTTTGACTGAAGATTTGGAGGATTTGGTTAGTTTTCTGTTTTTTTTCTTGGATCTGTATGCATTTCATGGATCCGAAATCTGATTTCTTCCGTTTTTTTTGGCTGGGTGAAGCATCTCTGCGTTCAGGAGCTGCACTTTTGATGTTGTAGATCATGTGGCGATAGGATATAGACACATTTGGGAATGTGGATGTATATCAGCTTGCAGCACCTTTGTGCCTTTGGTCTGTTGAGGAAGATAAAAAACGCCACACAAGGTCGTTTCTCATGGTATCTGTTTGTGCTTCCCTTTGCCAGCTTTTGGCAAGCCTTGCTTCGAAGTCGAGCTGTGTGGTTCCCAGATGCGTGAAGGGACTCCAAGTTCTCAGGCTGCACTTCTAGTGCTGCCGTCGCGGCTAAGGTAGAGTCACTGCTGGAGGGACAGCATGCTCAATATGCGCAACATGCCGGTCAAAGTGGTGGGAAGCTTTGTAAAAACATATTGAGGTCATGAATAATTGGATTTGTTGATAAACCTCATGCAAGTAGCAATGGGGAAGTAGCAATGCTGCCCTGTTCAGATTTGTACATGTTCTTATTTTCTTTGAATCGCTTTGGTCAGAGGCCAATTCGATGGGACCGCACTTCGTTTACTGGTGTCACGGGCAAGGAACCTAAACACCCTGGAATTTTCGATCAATTTCTGTGTGCAGTGCGGCAGTGACCATAGTCCACTGAGAAGCCTCAGGTTCTTCCTGACGATCACGCAGCGCTCGGACAAGAATTGGTGACGATCATCACAGGCAAGTCCGAGCGAGGATTTTTTGAAAGGCATGGAATCTCAGCGCTGCTGAAGATATCAGGCGAACGTGGTGATCTTGCCAGTGATGAACACACAAACTTTGCTGCTGAATTGATTTCGAGCTCCAAGGCAAGTTGAGTGGCGCCCAATCAATTATAATTTCTTGGAATCGAGTGTATAAGAGAGAATGTAGGAAGTCTGGTGTGGAGGCAATGATTCAGTTTGCCAATTTGCATGGTCAGGTGGACTCTCGTTCTGAGGCAGGGAACAGGGATGGCACTTTTGGACCAGGGCATCATTTGTGGGAATTTGTGATGCTCATTCTCAGGCGTTGTTTGCTGAGAGCCTTGAGCTGCGGAAATCTCGAGAGAAGCTGGTGCAGGCGTGAAAAACATGAGACTCTCAGACTCTTCAGAGTGATTTGAGAACTTTGAGAGCAGAACTACTCAGTTTTTCTAGGAGCTACAGAAGCTGAGCTCCGGTGGCGAGTCCTTGGACAGGTGCTCCTTGGGTTGAATCGAAATCAGAGATAGAAAAAGTATGAAAAAGTCAAAAAGTGTTCCTTGCTTCATGTTGGGTCAGGCCAGCTCGACGTGTTGAAGTATCTTCTGAACTTCTAGGTGCAGGGAGATGTGAAAATGGAGGGAACCGTGAGTTTCAGGCAGCGTTCTAATACCACTTGGCAGGAAACTTTGAAGTCATGAGCCAAGCGTAGAAGAAACTTTCTTGTTCTGTTGCAGCTACATCTCACACTTTGCATTGGTGATTTCTTGAGAACTTACTTGTGAATGCATTTGTTCGTAGCAGAAGAAACTAAGGCTTCAAATCAAGGCCTTGAGGAGGCTTAGCGAAACCTGTCTGGCAGAATTTGCTCAAGAAACCGTTCATTACTCTTCTAACTTTTCTTGTTTTCTTCTTGCTTCAACTCTTCGCTTTGCATTCAGCTTTCTGTTGTTTGACCGCAGGCAGGACGACACTGTATTGCCACTTCTGAGGTGCACTGTGCCGTTGTGGGGTGGTCATTCCCCACCCCCCTAAGCTCTTCCCATGGTGATTGTTAGATCCCATTTTCGTTGGTGTGACAGGCTCGCCAGCAGAAGATCACCAAGCTCTTGGGAGACATCGAGGCCGGGTTTGCTCCAGTGGTGCTGTTGTCAATCTCGCCGAGAATTCCTATGCACTTCCAGAATTGCTGTTAAGGTGTCAAAAAGAGTACTCATTTGAAAACATGTCTTTGTACTTGGGAAGGCATATGCCATGTCTTTGGAAGGTCGGTGACCCGAGATTTTTGCCTCAGCTCAAAATTGGACTCAGTTTGAATCAGCGCAGTTTTGATGTTGCACTGCAGGATCTGAAGGAGTTGGACAGACACAGAATGCTTTGCAAGACAAGCTCCGAGAATGTCATAATGCGCTGTCAGCGGAACTTGCCAAGATTGACAAGCAACGCGAGTCCTCAGATCGTCAAATCGAGTCGTTGGAAAATAAGAAGCTGATGATTCGCCAAAAGTTACAAAGCCTTGACGACAAGCTTCACTCTGCACGAGAAGTACAGCGCTCGTGTTTTGAACAGCGAGATCTGTGCAGGAAAGCCGTGGCCGATGTCGAGGGACAATTTCGATCCCAGCTACGTGAGGTCGAAGAGGAAGGACTTCAGGCGAGAAAAGAACATGATGCTGCAAAGAAGGCAAGGGTTCAAGAGAAATCCTGAAGAAAAATGAAAACACATGATTTAAGTTATACAATGTTCCGTTGGGAAGTCTTTGGTAGTTTTTACAAATAATGATTATGGTTTTGCATTGACATCAGTATGAAGATGTATATAGCAAGGCTTCTTGACTGGCTGGAAGCATGTTTGCATGGCCATGTTCAGGTTAGAAGCGCAGCAGTGGAAGCTGAATCCTTATCCTCACAAGCTCTGAAGGCAGCTGCAGATGAGCTTGAAATGAAGGCTTTGCAATTTGATGATCATCTTTTGACCGTCTTGATGGATCACCTTGAACAAGAAGAACAGAGAATCCACCAGTTGGCGCGGGAAGCGCAGCACTGCCAACAGGTTGTTCAGAAGCACAAGGCTGAAATACAGATGCTGAACGTCATGGACCGCCCAGCAAATTCCGTGCTTGACTCACAGGAACACAAGCGTCTTCGGCAAACTGCTGCAGCAGTGGATGTGGCCTTGAGAGCCTGTGCTACCTTCGTGCGAGACTTCGGTCCTTTCCTTGACAAAGACGCTGAAGCAACAGCTCGTGTTCGCACGTTAGAATCACATCATGGCCAAGTCTTGCAAAAGCTGGCACCATGCCGCGAATTTCTGGGAAGTGATTTGCCATTTCCAGGACAACCTAGAACATCAACTCCAACACCACCAGGGCAGTCTCCACAGCAGTCTCCGCAGCAGTCACCAAAGCAGTCACCACAGCAGTCACCTCAGGCAGCTTCACAGCCAGTGTCACCACGCGCAACATATGGCAGTCAACCCAACATGGGACAAATCTCTCAACCAGTGCAGCAGTCACCGCAGCAGGCGGCAGCTTCACAGCCAGTGTCACCATCTGCAGCACCAGGCAGTCAACCCAACATGGGACAAATCCCTCAACCAGTGCAGCAACCAGTGCAGCAGTCGCCGCAGCAGGCGGCAGCTTCACAGCCAGTGTCACCACATGCAGCACCAGGCAGTCAACCCAACATGGGACAAATCCCTCAACCAGTGCAGCAACCGGCGCAGCAGTCACCGCAGCAGGCGGCAGCTTCACAGCCAGTGTCACCACGTGCAGCACCAGGCAGTCAACCCAACATGGGGCAAATCCCTCAACCAGTGCAGCAACCGGCGCAACAGTCGCAGCAGGCGGCAGCTTCACAGCCAGTGTCACCACATGCAGCACCGGGAAGTCAACCCAACATGGGACAAATCCCTCAACCAGTGCAGCAACCAGTGCAGCAGTGGCCGCAGCAGGCGGCAGCTTCACAGCCAGTGTCACCACATGCAGCACCGGGAAGTCAACCCAACATGGGACAAATCCCTCAACCAGTGCAGCAACCGGCGCAGCAGTCACCGCAGCAGGCGGCAGCTTCACAGCCTGTGTCACCATCTGCAGCACCAGGCAGTCAACCCAACATGGGACAAATCCCTCAACCAGTGCAGCAACCGGCGCAGCAGTCGCCGCAACAGGCGGCAGCTTCACAGCCTGTGTCACCACATGCAGCACCAGGCAGTCAACCCAACATGGGACAAATCCCTCAACCAGTGCAGCAACCGGCGCAGCAGTCACCGCAACAGGCGGCAGCTTCACAGCCAGTGTCACCACGTGCAGCACCAGGCAGTCAACTCAACATGGGACAAATCCCTCAACCAGTTCAGCAGCCACCGCAGCAGGCGGCAGCTTCACAGCCAGTGTCACCACGTGCAGCACCAGGCAGTCAACCCAACATGGGACAAATCCCTCAACCAGTGCAGCAACCGGCGCAGCAGTCACCGCAACAGGCGGCAGCTTCACAGCCAGTGTCACCACGTGCAGCACCAGGCAGTCAACTCAACATGGGACAAATCCCTCAACCAGTTCAGCAGCCACCGCAGCAGGCGGCAGCTTCACAGCCAGTGTCACCACGTGCAGCACCAGGCAGTCAACCCAACATGGGACAAATCCCTCAACCAGTGCAGCAACCGGCGCAGCAGTCACCGCAACAGGCGGCAGCTTCACAGCCAGTGTCACCACGTGCAGCACCAGGCAGTCAACTCAACATGGGACAAATCCCTCAACCAGTTCAGCAGCCACCGCAGCAGGCGGCAGCTTCACAGCCAGTGTCACCATCTGCAGCACCAGGCAGTCAACCCAACATGGGACAAATCCCTCAACCAGTTCAGCAGCCACCGTAGGGAGATAGGACTCAGGAGTGTGAAGTATGAACTTAGAGTTGCACGTGTTTTGATTGCTGAGCAAGCTCTCTGTAGAAATTTGATTGCTGAGCAAGCTCTCTGTAGAAATTTCTCGGACAAAGCAGAACCTGGTATAGCAACTTGATGGCGGCCAAGATTCTTTCAGCGCCTGGATGTGAAGAGCCTGGACAGTGCTTGTCAGGTGGAGAATAAGGAGCAGAACAGCTTTCTGCATCTTTGTGTCCAAGGAAACATGCCAGAAACAAAAATTATGCCAATCATGCTTGATGACTGGAGCAACTTTGGGTAAGGAAATTGAAGTGGAGCTGTGAGGGTGTCAAGGTTTCACCAGAACACAATAGGATCAATGACTCAATGACCAAAGGTCAGCGGTTCTGAAGCATGCATCAGTCACAGCCTATTGATGGAACAAAAAGCTTGACGCGCGGAGATGAATGTTTCATTTTCACATTTTGTTACATTCACCATCATTCACCTTTCAAGTTCAGAACTGGCCTTTATTGTCTTTATTGCATTGTATTGCAATGATGGGTTGCTTTTCCTTCATGCCATTGAAAAACGCATATTGCCATGGCACAGTTTCCTTGCTGTGTTTTGGCTGCCCTGTAGTCAAAGCTCTTTTTTTACGTACGGGTGGAGCCTGGGGCACATGCCAAACAGGGCCTGCCAGCATCTTAGTTATGGACCGATGGAGGGCTTGTGAGGAGACCCAAATGGATTCAGCATAATGATGGGCCCCTACCGATCATATTCGTTTCTATCCCAATATTACAGGGGTTGCAACCACCAAATTTATCCGAATTTGTCCAAATTTATCTAAATTCGGGTTTATTCAAGTTTGTCTAGCTGTGTTAGCTAGGGGGCCCATCCTTATGCAATGTGTTTTTCTCATTGCAATGTGGTGAGGCGAAGTGACTGAGCAACCTGCCAACGAACCTGAACCTGAAGGGCGACAGGAGTGGGCAGAGTCCAATGCAGAGTCCAATGAGGTGACACCGGATGAGGACAGCTGGCTTCACATGGAATCTGCCATAGCTAGCAATGTTGGCACCGGGATACGGACTTCGTTTTCTTTGTCCGACTTGTCCTTTTAAAAAGCAGGATGTCTATGCATCCCTGCAGAAGAACAGCCAGGCAAATGCTGTAGGAAGTTCACTGTTAGTTTCTGAACTTGCCAAGGAAGGGGCCTGGGTTGTGAGAGAACTTCCAGCATCTTCCAGCAAGTTTGCAGCACTTTTTGATTACTCAATATACTTGCAGTTGGACTCCATGCCGTGCTTCAGGTCGATGATTCTGCTGTTTGCAAAGACGAGGTTATGGAGAAGAACATTCATGATATGTACAATGAACTTACGTGGCACGTGTGGGATGATTTCAAAGTGCGACCAATTTCTCGTCCTTGGTAGGAGAAGTCGGAACCCCAAGATGAGGTGGAAGAAACAACAAGTCTTGTGGAGGCGACCCCCAATGCGCAACTGCCTGTGAGGGGAAGACGCATCCCCAGTTGACAAACTTTAGATCTCTGACAGTTTCAGATTTTTTGGCTAAAATTCGAAGTCTTTGAGTGAAGCCACACGCATGCTTCGCGCTTGGCTGGGGTGTGTTCGCTTCGGTCAGGTTGCACCAAAGCCTGAGCCCAACTCAAGGCGGAAAAAGCTTTTCTCCATGACAACATGGCAGAACAATTTCCTGAATGATGGTAAGGCACTGGTAAGGTCTTCCTTTCCGTATTCTGTTTGTTCCGTTCTGCTGAACCCTTTTTAGCATCCCTTAGTTTGTGCCTAGCAGGTTGGGATCTTTCTTTGCAGGCCGTGGGATTGTGGCAGTGTCACAAGATTTCATCCAATGCACGAAAACACAGAAGCGCATTTCTAGACCTCTAGCTTCAACAAGAGATGTAGAGCCTTGACAGAGCCAGTTCAGTCACTTGAGGTACAGATACTGATGTACTAGTTACTAGTGCAACAAATATGAGCTTATCAGACTCCAAGGAGATTCTTGAACTGCAGAGGTTCCTGGCGACTTTGGAGTCTACCTTGGGTGTTGATCCCAGTGACAGATCCGACGTTTAGTGACGTTTAGTTGTGTTCCTATGTGTTCCTGGGATTCCTGAGCCGACATCCCTTGACCAGGACCACAAAGGGGCCAGGTCTGCCAGGTCTCCGCAGGTCTGCCAGGTCTCCGCAGGATCTGCGTCTCAAGGCGGGATTGGCATCCCAACCTATGCGGGGATTGTGGGGCACAAAGATGGCCTCCAGCCTTCATCACTTCTTTGAGAGCTTCCTCCTCATCACATGGCTGCTGTCCCTGTCAGCATCTCTTGCATGCTGTCTAAAGCTTGGATCCCTACACATGTCGCTGGGAGCTGCTTCAGCCGTCTTTCTTCCTGAGGGCCAAAGCTAAATTGGGTGTTCAAAAACTATGCTTTGGTGTTTCAGTTGTTTCATCGGTTTCATTCTCGGCATGCTTGTTTATATGGCCAACTCGACACTGTCCGCCTTTAACAGCTTCCTCAACTGGAAAAAAAACATTATGACTGTGGTGAGGTCCAAAAGTCCATTATTCCACCCCCTTCCACTTTTACTGGTTCCTGGGTTTGTTCCGCATGTGGGAAATGATGTTGAACGAAAGTGAGGAAAAATGAACGCATGGCTCAATCTCCTTAATTATACCCAGATGAAACTGCCAGAACGGGGAGGTGCCTCCTCTAGTGTTAACTTTTCGAACTTCGATAAGTGATGATAAGTGCTTGTCAGTTGTATGGGACTGTCGCGCGGTTCTCAACAAATGAAGTCTCTGATTTCGGGGAGACAGGTGGAAGAGCATGTCTTTTGCGCACTTCTCGTTTCCCCCTACCCGGCCTTACCCGGATAGATTTTGAGGTATGGTGATCATAGCCAACTGCAAATTGCTGCTGCCATAGCTTGCTGCTTCATTTTAGCGACTTGGGCAGTTGCAGAGGCGTGGAATTGATGTGCTTTGATGAACATCTATGACTGGCTTTTGAAGGTCAAGAAATGAGCCTTTCTGCACCTAGTGCAATCGCTGCATCAACGACAGTCATTTGTCATGATTGCTAGTCATACCTACAATCCAAACTTCTGGCCAGCTCAAATGCTGCCAGGCATGCAATCAACTTGGTCCACATGCAGGTGACATGCAAGGCTATGATTTTTGGCTGCACTGTTTTTGTTTTCAGATTTGACTGTTCGAAACACATCTATCTTCCATGGCTGTAGCTTAGGAACTTACGAGCACAGCAGACGTGGATCCTGTCATTGTTGGTCGAAAAGTAGCTGATGATGCAGGACCAGACCCTGAGGTGTGATATGTTCTGGCAGATTTTGTAGATCATCAGCTTTCTTGGTTTGCTGAAACCAGGAGATTCCAGGACGCATTGGCATGTCTCATACCTTGCAGGTCTGCCAAAATGTGGATGATACTGTGGAGAAAGAGGAAGCTAAAGAGGTGCTCCAGTCAGACGACATGCAGAATTCACCGGATTGGAAGGAAAATCCTCAGGAAGCCATGGTTTTAGCATGTTGTAGCTCCCATATATAGGAAATTATAGGTGTTTACTGCATTTTTTCCTCTCAACCAGTTCTGGGAAGGATGGCTTTTTGTATGAAGAATTTGATGATTTGAACAGGATCACAGGATCCAGGATCCCACAAGTCTTCCCTCTGCAAAGCCACAAAGCTCTTGCGCAGGGGATGCGCCGTACCTCTGTAGCTGTCCAGGCCGGAGGTTTGTTTCATTCGCTGTAGGGGTGTCGACATGTGTTGACAGCGACAGTTTTCTTTTTTTTTCCCTGTTCAAGCTTGACTCTATTCAGGCCTGGCTGAAAGAACATGTTTCAGCTTGGAGGGCAGGTGCTGAGCTTTGTGTGTCTTGGCAGCTGGGTTTCTGTCATGGCTTCAGATGAAGGGGAGATCACGGGGCGAAGCTGGTCAGTCTAAGGCCATTCTTGCGTTTCTCTACCTCTGTGACCGTACGGCTGTTCTTCCTGAGGGTCCAAAGACTCGTGATCCCAAGTACTTCTGGGGCCTTTGGGCCGTGATCGTCATCGTCGCTTGCTTCACCATCAGGAAGACTGAGGAGTCCAACCCACTATCTCGAGAGCAGACCGACGAGTGGAAAGGATGGATGCAAATCATGTTTCTAATGATCCTTGGCAATGTTTTGTCCAAACAAGCTCCCAATTCTGACATTTGCTTTTGTCTCAGTTGTCTAATTGAGTGAACCCAGGTACCACTACTTTGAGGAGAAGGAAGTTTACAACGCAATCCGTGTGTATATCGCAGCCTATGTTTGGATGACAGGATACGGCAATTTCTTTTTGTACCGAAAGGGTAAAAGCTTTACAGCGCGACGAACAGCCCAGATGTTATTTCGACTGAACTTTCTGGGCCTTGTGGTGTGTGTTGTCCTTCGAAATGAATACATGCTCTATTACATTTGTGCAATGCACACTCTCTTCACGGTTTTCGTGCTGGTGGCAATGTTTGTGTTGCATACCATGAACTCTTTGTACACCGTCCTTTGGGTGAAAATACTCACAACATTTGCAGTGACAGTGGTACTCTATGATGGACCTGACTACATCTTTCGACTGGTCTTTGGAACGCTGCCAGTGGTGCGTCCTCTATTTGCGTTTCACGATCCACTCCACCCGGAATTCAAAGATGAAATGCATGAGTTTCACTTCAGATCCGGACTTGATCGATATATTTGGATCTTTGGCATGATTTGTGCGCTACACTACAATCATTTTGCTGCTCTCCTTCAGCTGAATGTTTCTTGCGCAAGAAGACTAGCTATCCAAGTTACCCTGGTCCTCATCGCTCTTGCCTGTGGTGCCCTGTGGTGGAAGTATGCTTTTCAACTGGACAAATATGCCTACAACAAGATTCATCCATTCACGTGTGAAGCTTACGAACAAAAGGGAAAACGCAAGACAGACACATTCAGTTCTGCATTCTGTCCGACCTACGGCTGTTTCACTAAGGTCCTTCGTGCCCCTGTCCGCCTACTTGATTTTGCGTAACTGCACTGAAGGATTGCGGAAGCGCTATCTGTACCTGTTTGCTTACATGGGGAGGACCACACTGGAAACCTACATTTTTCAGTTTCATATTTGGATGCGAACAACCGGACTGAATGGATCGCCCAAGAAGCTCTTAGTAGTGGTTCCAGGTTCTTATTGGCTGAACTTTGCCGTGTTAACGGCCATCTACATCTTCGTCTCCATCAGATTTTCGCATTTGACTGGAGTGCTGCGAGATGCGCTCATCCCATCCAGTTTGCGAGCCATGCTGTGGATTTCTGTTGCTTTGTTGACTGCTGGGGGTCTTTGTTGGATCCTGTCTCTAATGTGGACTGGCAGCATTCCCACGCCTGGACTGCGGTGAAAACTCCGCTGAAGAGTGCTTTTCCTGCCCATTAAGAGATGCTTCTGTCACTAGTCGTCTGACACAGTCTACAGAAATTGCTTGCAAGGAAGCTTGAAGCCTTGTCCTGAGGACAAGCATTTCTCTTCGAGACCCAGCACTTCAGCAGAGCATTCCAGCGAAGGCGGGTCTTCCAGATCCTTCATAGTCTGATGATATTTTTCAATGGCAATGTTCTTGACTGGATGACTACAATTGACTAAATCCAGGCACCCAGTGAACCAAAGAAATGAAAAAAACATTTGACAAATTCCTCGAGTTCGCTGTCGAGGTGAGCTACTTGTCAGCGACGAAGACATTGACAGGTCTAGATGTTTCGATGATTTGTCGTTGTTGAATTTACCAAGCCTGATTGCTGGATATTGCTGGCCAGTCGGTTGAATGATCAACAAGCACCTGACATTGTCCGGGTCTGATTGTGGAAAGAGAGCATGTGTCAAGAAGATTCACGATTGCAGGACTTGGTTGAGCATTGTCATGTGCAGAGCAGTTGCTACTGGTACTACTAGGACTAATACATATATATATATATACATACATACTAATACTATGTTTTCACCAAAGAAGTCCTTCCGGGCTTCACCATGCTTTGTCCTGCTGTCTCAATGTGGGATGCCCTGTTTGCGTTGTGCTCCGGATGTCTCTGCACCTGTCTCCTGGCTTGGCTGTTGGAGCTGGCAAACCTCAGAGCACTCACAAGCTGGCTCCTGTGCCCTCGTCTTGCCGCTTCCTTGCACGGGTACCTGCTTTTGTCTATGGGTATTCTGAACCTAAACACATAGTAAAATAGGATAGGTATATACTGGGTAGGTGTCAAGAAGAGTTCCCAGCATGGCCATCACATGCCATCACTTTGTCGATGTCAGAGGAGTTGTTTCCTACTCGCCTGGCGCCAAGGTTGGCATTGAAAGCTGGCAGGTGGTTGACTCTGGTGGCCTGGTTGTCGCCGAAGATGATGCGGTCGGCTCATTGGAACATCTCGGTACACTGTGAGAACCGCTTTCCAATTTGCTTTGAAAACCTGACCTCTTTCTTGCCTTGAAGCAAACATGGAGTAAACATGGGGTGAACCGAACCATCTTGAGGAATCCGGTAGAGGGATAGTCAGATAGTCAAACACTCCGTTGGATGTGGTTTTCAGCTATGGAAGATGCAGGTGGATGCAATTCACGTAGGCCGCGGTTCAGTGGAGGCATGACTCCAAAGAATGTGTTGCTTTAGATTGCAGTCAGATTGGGTTTACCTTCAAAGTCTTCCATTCAACTTCAGAGCACAAGGCAAAGATGGAGCGAATGCTGACCTGGATGCTGGCTCCCGCTGTTCATGGGATTCCAGTCTGACTGACCTGCTTCATAGTGCTGCAGTGCTGCATCATGCTTGATCAGCTGCCATTATTCCATTCCCTTTATTCCCAGTGGATGCTGGTAATGTGCCAGAAACTGGGCGTGCTTCCAGCAGAAGAGCGGGCAGCTGAACTGTTGGCGCAGTTCCGAACTCAGCGTCCGACAGCAGCCAGAAGATCCAACTGGTGGCTGATTTCATATCTTCCCAATAACCCATACATAGTTTTCAGAGGGGCTGTATCTATAAGGGTGGAAGTGCTTTCTCTCAGTAACAGTAGCAAGAGGTTATATAAGTTATATACAATATTATACAATAGTAAATAGTATTAATATGTATTAATACTTTCATGATACTTTCTCGTATATTTTTCCCAATACTTAGGCATGACCGAGATGTGGAAGCTGCAGTTCGAGAAGTACGAGCTCTCAGTTTTTACAGACAGGTTTCATCAGAATAATCAGAGCAAAGAGCTGTAGCCATTTGTGGATTTTTCTTCGGCTCCCGGTAACCTCGATCAAGGATGATACAGATGCTGTTCTACCCATGTGCCGTGTGCCTGTGTCAAGGTGGTTGCTGGCTCTGAAAGGCACCCCTTTTGCGCATCAGAGAGAGAGAGAGATCTCAGAGAGGGCATGTCCAAACTGTTTGATCCCACTTCAACAAAAACATATCGACGCATGTTTTTGTGACGGGCACACAGCAGCTTCATGTGCTTTGCAAGTCTTTGTGATGTAGGTCAGTCTCCACTGTGGTCTTAAACTTCTGCTTGGAGCGAATTCCAGTCCTTGGTTGCCCAACCGTGGAGCGCCAAGTCGCATCAAGATCGCATCAAGAGCAGGACTTGATTCTTTAGACCAGAAACTTTATTTTTGGGTTGCTGGTTTTGTATAATATATGTTTTGACAAGAGGTCTTGCTGAAAACAACTTGGGGCGGAGAACTTAGTTCTTGGAACAACTTTTGCATATTATGATCCGAAGCTGGTGTTGACCATTGCGAATCTGCTCCTTGACCAGGCAATCTTCGCAGCATCGTGATCATTGCAGCAATGTATGGTTGAGATCTCAAGCTGGACATACAGTAAGTTTTTTGAGAGTCGTTGCTGTTTGTACTTGGCGAGTCGCTTTGACTTTGACCCAGGTCACGACTTGGAATCAGCCAGAGTACAACATGAGGCTCAAACTTTGTGAGAAATTGAGAGTAGAGTTATCAGCAAATGTCCAGATAGACCTGACTTGCCTGTTTAAGGTGTGTCACCTTTCCACCGTTTAAATCCTAATTTTGCAGGCGCTTCTTTGCCTTGTGCCTCCTGGTGATGACAAGGACAATCGTTGATATGTAGTCAGGGCATTTTTGCGTAAAATTCCAGTTGAGATTTGGAGCGTGTTCATTCTGACCAATTGCTGGGCCTTGCTAAAGCAAGGATTCCTGTGCTGCCGCACTGAAGCAGCAGAATGCAGTGACCATAGAGTTACCGGAGACAGCGAAGGTGTCGAAGGTGTCAACTTTCCACCTTTTCCCCGTTGGCCCCACACCTGAGGCATCGCCTGATCTGAACCCTGCAGTCTTCGTGTCCACCACAGCGCAGCAGGTGATGCCACTGTCAACGATGCTTCTGATTTGGGTTTGTTTGAAAGTGGGGTATACCGGTATACCCCCCTAAATGGCAGTTTTAGTACGGAAAACGATGGAGCATGGAGACAACTCAGAGAACGGAGCAGGTCGCTCATTTTATGATCCGCGGAGCTTTGAGACGTGCCACGCTCCAAGCATTTGGAAACCAGAAAACCACAGAGGACCACAAGACCCCACTTGAGACTAGAGAATACGGCTATGGACCAGTATGATCAAACAATAAGGCCCAGGGAGCTACAGATTTTCGTAAAAATCGTTGAACTTTGTGGTATGAGCCCAAATTTGATTGTAGCAACTTCCAAATCTAGGCTACGGGATTGCAAGCAGCAGTCGATTGCTTTGAGCTGGCCTCATTGTTGTCGGGATTCCAAGCTTGCCAGGTCTAGATTGGATCCCCCAAATGGCGACTTGTAAATCGAATGGTGAATTTTTGTTTCCGGCGTCAACGCCCCGAGCTGGGCGTGAGTTTTTCCGTGTAACTGCTGCGTGCCTCATTTCAGCATCTGACATTTTGCCGATGTTCACATGTACGTTGCAGATGCTCGCTGAGGTTCAACAGGGGGGTGTAATAACAGATCCTTTAGGATCAAGCAGGTGAGCCATCGAAATCAGGATATTCTCAGAGAGTCTTCAGTCGTGGCTGCCTAAAAATGTCAAGAGGTTGTATAGAGGTCGTCTGCATGCCAAACTCGTGCTGTACTTGCGATCATGGCAGTTCCGTTTCCAAAATCAACATAAATAAGCCATTTTGGCTGAAGTTTTGAGGCTCAAACCTTTCAGGTGATGGCCTGAAAGGCAGGTGGTCCAGTGGAAGCTGGGTAGAGGAGGGTCCAACGGATCCAAGAGGCCTGCTATAAGGTCTGCTCACAACTACTCCCTTGAGGACTTCAAGATAGCATGGTCAGCGGTGCGAGAGTTCGTCCTCATTGAGACCCTGGATGATGGTGGAAAAAGCCAGGGTGAAGCTTTGATGAGGATGGAACAAATGTACCAGGCTGACAATGATGGGGCCTTCGCCTTAACCTCCTACGTGGTATGCAGTGATGAGTATTACCAGTACTGGGCGACCAATGAAATGTCCATGAGCACGCGCCGCCACTTCTGCAGAACCACTTCCCTGCAACAATGCAAGACCAAAGTAAGGAAAGAAAGCATCGTCCATTTGTTGCGCTGGTCTGCGGTTACAAGCGAAGCTGAGAAGGTCCTTCTCACCAGTGCTCCTGAACAAGAAGACTTGCCCAGTGCCAGCTTGGGTTCAGGCGATTACCAACAAGGACCCCACCTCGTCTAAAGCTGCTCCTGCTTCCAGGGAAAGAGATGATGAGCATCAAGAGCGCCGTGGAGCCTTGCGGGGAACAAAGCGGAAGAAGGCAGGGGAAGGCAATAAGGAACATGGAGAGAATGCAGGAAAGCGTAGGAGACATAAGATGGCCCATCTGGACAGTGATCAGCTGCGCAAAGAGTCAGAGGAGAGGCTAGCTGGGTTGAAAGACGCGCTGCAAAAGAAGAAGAAGGTTGGCAAGTTGAGCAGTGAGCCGGGTGCCATTCTTGCCACTCGGGCTGCGGCCGTCGCAGAATCGTCCAAGTGCAAGAAGAAGACAGGCGACAAGGCCATCAGTATCCTGAAGAAGGCCATCTCAGGAAAAGGCGTGGAGGAGGTGGACTATGAGGACAATGGACATGAAAAGGACGCACAGTGAGAAGAGGCCTGCATCTGGGTATGAGAGGATGCATTCGGAACACACTATGACGGCCTCCCAGGAAAGAAGAAAGCACTCGAGCCCGTGGCATCGAGGTACCTGCTCAGCTTTGCTCTGCCGCAGATGCAGGGAGGGTTGCCACACAACCAGTACAGAGAGCGAGCCAGGGTGGGTCTCAAAAGAAGAGATGAGGTCTGGTTGCCTGGGGTGTTCAGGGGTGACACAGGTGATCACCTGTGGTCGTAAACCCACAGAAAACCCGTGATAGCTCACCTCACTCAGTGGGTGCTGAGGGATCAGGTGGAAGACATGAACCGGTGAGAGCCCGTGTGAATAAGCTGATAGAGGGGGGCAGTCAGGCTGAAGCGTCTGACATTGCGCCAATTGGCCCTCCTGTAGTCAGTGATGAGAGCTCTGGGGCGTTGGCCGGAGAAATAGAAATTGCTGCAGATTCTTTTGTACAGGTTTTTCATGTTAAAAAGTTTCGGTTGGCTTCTTTTCATAGCATTTGCAGAGATGTTGACGGGCTGCCCAAAAGCTGCCTACAAGTGGGGATTTCGCTGGCACAAATCCTAGGTTGGGGCATCCGTGAGACGGTCAATACATAATGACTTTTCTGCGTCGAACGTGGACAAAAAAGTAATTGCTACCCGAAGGGACTTGCTACCCTTCAATTTTTGCCCTGCAGTAGGAGCTGCCCTAAAGGTGATATCCCTCTTTCTGGTGATGGATTCTGGTGTTGTCAAGGTTGATAAGACGGTTTTGGGTAAGATCCCCAAACAGCAGAGAAAGAAATTAATCACGGAAGGCAACATGCAGTTGTGGAGGTGGTTGATTGTTACGGTTCTGAATGGAGAATTTCAATACTGGACCATTCCCAAAGATTTGCCCCCAGCAAAAGCTAGCCTTGCCCAAGTTTCTGTACTGGTGATAGCGTCAAGTATTTTGGTGAGGATCCCTTGATTGTTTGGGAATTGCCCAAGTACAGCAACCTTATGAGTAGCAAGACCATCGATTATGCGGGTGAGGAAGTTTCCCATGCGTTGCCTTTGCGTCTTGAGGAGCTTTTGCCTGGATTACGAGAATGTTCAGTGGGAGGAAGCCTTGAGGCCATGAACGTGGCCGACGACGAGGTACGGAAGGATCCCCGCAAGTTGTTCCAGCGGCAAGAACAAATGCAACCAGGCCCCCATAGATGAATCAGAAATCTTTTCAGTGCAGGGAACTCTGGTTCTTAATGGTGCCTTTGCGGTTTCAAAAAGTGGGGTGCCTGGAGTGCCTGCTCCAGGTGAAAGCCGGATCACTCGCTCGATAATGAACATGACCCCAAGCAATGCATATCAGATGTTGATGCGGGGTGACCTGCACACCTTAAGTACATCATCAAGTTGCGTATCATTGGTTCTTCCCCCTCATCACTGCTTTCTGTGGTCATCCGATGATCAGCGAGGTGCCTTCTATGCGTGGCGGCTACCTGCAGCGTGGCGGCCTGATGGCCTTCCGGTGGCCGGTGCCAGGCCGGTTGGTGGGAAGGGAAGTCGAATGGTCATTTGTGTGCTCAGCAGTGATTCCCATGGGATGGATCAACGCAGTGAGCCTGTTTCAGCACTTGCACCGGAGGTTGGGGGTAAGTGCACCGCCAGCTGGCTCAGGGTTTCCTGAGGAATGGGAGAGGAGGGATCGATCAATTTCGCAGTCTCATAAGCTGCAAACCCATTGGGTCCAATACTATTTGCATGACTTTGATGCACCTGAGATCGTCCCAGAGGAGGAGGTTAGAGATATTCAAGGAAGTATTTCGGAAGTTCAAAAGGAGGAAAGGGCGGCTTATGCGAGGCAAGGAGTGGATATCTCGCTGAAGAAGTCACAGCACAGGGATCCCCACATGATTCGTGGATGAAATCGATGGCATTAAGGGAAGACTAGCAGCCCCAAAGGTAAGAAGGAGGCCATAGGATTTGCCTTGTGGTTGCGGGGACAGCAGCAGCCAAAAACCAAAGGAGTCGTGATGGTTTTAGGCAGGATGGTCCGATGCTTCGAGTTCCAGCGGCCGCTCATGAGTTTGCTACGAAACTGTTGGCCGAAAGGTAGTCCCACAATGAGAAGGCCGATGAGTGTGGAAACCATCCGTGCGCTGGTGAGAGCCAGAGTCATGCTGCTGATGGCCTTCGCTGACTTGAGACTTCAGGTAGATGGGCTGGTGACTGCCAGTGATGCATCGGAGGAAGCGCGAGGCTTATGTGCAGCAAGTTGCCTTACGGATGAGGGTCCTACCCTTTGTGTGCAAGGGATCCTATTCGAGAACTCGGCTGTTGGGCTTTCGTGCAGCAGGGGCCATGCCGGTAGAAGGGTCCACGAGGTCCACGTGTCTTTTTGTTCCCACTTTTTGATCGAATCGGAGCAGCTTGACTCGCTTGCCCTGCCAGGTTGTGGGGTACGTGGACAAAGAGTGTAAGCGGCTGACAAGGCGGGGCTGGCCTGGTATCATTGAGCTTGGAAAGGTGGCAGGAATAACCGCAAAGACCATCGGGGATCTGGTTCGCTCCATTGGCTATGAGGTGGCCATTTTGCTCATAACGACAGGGAGTCCCTGTCAGGACCTTACATCGCTGCTTGCCAACCGGAAAGGACTTGCGGGGTCGAGATCCGAACTATTTTTCGAAATCCCACGCATTCACAAAATATGTGTGGATATGTTTCCTGTCAGGGTGGCGCTGATGGTGGAGAATGTGCATTCAATGATGGACGATCATAGGGATGATTTTTCTAGGGTCCTGGGTCGCAACCCCCTGCTAGTGATGGCTGGCGACCTGTCTTGGGTGAGGCGTCCAAGATTGTATTGGATCTCCTGGGACATCGTCCCTCAGGGATTAGAAAAGCTGGTGGATTTTGGTGTGAGCCGCATGCTCACGGTGGACGAAGGACCGGCATCAGTTTCAAGTGTATCAGTATGAAGACGGTAACCTTTTGTGGAAGGGAGACACCTGGAGGTTAACGTGAATAGCTCATGGGTTTTGACGTCGGTTACTTGTCAAATGCACTGCCTGAAAAATGGTCACCTTCTGAAAAGTTTAAGATTGGGTGTTGCATGGTAGGCAACACTTTTCACGTTTACTCTGTCACCATGCTTTTCCACGAACTGATCAGATCCCTCTCCTGTGGAACATCATAGATGTCTTCAAAAGATGGTTTCAGTGATGGGGGAAGCCCCGGAAGGTTGGACTGCTGTACCTTGCTTTGTAAAAGATGCACATGTGGATCCACTTACTAAGGATCTTGTTCATGAAATTTTACGGCAGGGGGACAGAGCGGGAGCAGACGTGAGGCTTGACGTCGGAATCCCTTTTTGGTTCAAGGCTTTTCCAAGGGCTCGCCTGCGAACCAGCTATTTTTCATGGGGGGTCATCCATTGGTACAAGTGGCAACACTCTAGCCATATCAACGCATTAGAGCTGCAAGCCGTTATCAATAGCGTGCAGTGGAGATTGCGTAAATTCCGGAACTATCAAAAGAGAGTTCTGCACCTGGTGGATTCGCAGGTGGTGGCCTGCGTACGGACTTCGTCTTATCGCTTGCGCAAGGGAATCCAAAAACTGAACTCGCTCCCAGTGACAGCTGGGATCAAACTGTGCATTGCCTACTGTCATACTTCGGAAAAACCGGCAGATATACCTTCCAGATGGTCAGGGGTCAAGAAAGGAGGCAAAGCAGAAGAGAAAAACGCAAAGGGCTAGTTGTTAGTCACACCGCAACTGCTCAAGCGGTATCAGCTAGCGGTGCAAATCACCACCTTTCTTGCAGACTGTGGCCTGCGTCTCCGAAGCTTGGCTGGTGATGGGCTAGCTAGTGTGCAGTATCATCTGCCGCAAGCTGTGGGGCATCTGCCAATGAGCTGGAAGCTGACAAAAGGGTGGTCCCCTTGAGCCCCCCTACTAACCAGGGCCTTCGCAGGAGCCTGTGTCAAGGTGGGTAAGATAGCTGGGCTGCCTGTATTTTAACAGCTTTTGATGCGCTGCGGCCGGGGGAAATTTACCTGCTGCAAGCTCCAGACATCACCTTCTATGCTACTCAAGCCATCATCACCCTTTGGGATACTAAAACTGGAAAGAGACACAGCTCTGGCGAAATGGTGGTTGTTGAAAGTTTTGTTGGCCACACACTACTTGCGGCTAGCTTGCAGTCAATGTCCACCACGAGCACCTCTCTGGAGAGATTGTGGTTCCGCTTTCAGGTTGCTCTTTCGCAATTTGGCTGATCATTTTCAACTTGATTGGCTTTTTGCAGTCTACTGTTTACGCCGTGGGGGTGCCACCTATGCATGTTTGCAACGCGGCAGCATGGAAAAGACATTGCTCAGGGGGCGATGGACCAGTTCATCCACTGCAAGAATCTACCTGCAGGATACCATGGCTACAGTTTTCAGATTCAGGCTGTCTCCCCTGCAGCGAGCGCATGTGACCTTAGCGGCTGGATTTTTGTATCCATTGTAACCCCGGCTGTGCCAGTGAAAGAGACCGTGGAATGGGCGGTCTCAATTGCACAGTGTAAGCTGTGAGGGCAATGTCAAACTTGGTCAGCTTGCTCAGTGATTGCTGAGAACTTTGCAGATGTTTGGCCAGTGTCTGCTGGTAAGAAAAATCAAACATCGTCTGTATAGTTCACCGGACCAACTGGGTTTGGTGCCTTGGATGTCTTACAAAAGATGCGGACAGCATCTCAGTGACATTACTGGCGTGATCAGAAAAGAAACGTGGGCTGACACACATGATCTTATGACATGTCAGTTGGCATGTGTTACTAACAGCTGAATGGGTCGATCAGGCTGTTTACATTTGGAGTTTTGAGGCTCCCACCCATCCCTCTGCGGATTCAGCTCAAGCTGTGAGGGCACCGTCAAACTTGGTCAGCTTGCTCAGTGAGTGCTGAGAACTTTGCAGATGTTTGGCCAGTGTCTGCTGGTAAGAAAAATCGAACATCGTCTGTATAGTTCACCTGACCAATTGGGTTTGGTGCAAAACCGAAACCGCGACCTAGCCCTCCTAGCCCTCAAGCATGCCTGGCCCCTCTCAGATGGAGTGCATGCGCCTGAAGGTGGTCCTGCGAAGCGATGCGGAGATCCGGGCAGCACTCAGAAACAAAGGGTTCAGCTTGGATGTCTTACAAAAGATGCGGACAGCCAGCATCTCAGTGACAATACTGGCGCGATCAGAAAAGAAGCATGTGGTGAAACACATAAGTATGCAAAGACGTTGGGTCAACTCTTCAAAACGAAGAATGGAGGCTGCAGATAAAGAACCGAAGAAAAAATGTCCATTTTGAAAACCAAAGTTGAGGCGCTGCAAAATTTTTCTCAGATGTTGACCTGTGTGGGCGCTGATATCAAAAAATGTTGTCACGGAAACACAAATCACTGTAACTGTAAGTTACAGCATTAGCATGTTCATTCTTGATTTAAACTCCAAAACCACAATGATTAAAAACCCACACCCGCCTCAAGGCGTTGTTCCCTTGTTTTCCAGTGTTCGTTCAAATAAAATCAATTTGTGGGTTTTTGCCATTTTCAGACGAACGCAAATAGTGGAATTATTTACCCTCATGAACCACAGAGGTACAGCAGTTGTGGCACAGATGCATTGGATGAGGAGCACTGCGTGTGGATGTCGAAATATCGTGAGTTGCTTGGACTGTAAAATTCCAGGACGGTTTTGTACACCTCACAGCCACACCAGCTTCGGCTGCCAGAGACTTTTTTCGTCGGGTGTCCCAATGAATGATATGTGACACCAGCAGTGTCATCATGGTCTCCTTAGGGAACCGCTTGATTTGGCGCTTCTGCCTTACTGATTGGTTTGTCGCATCCAAGGTAAGAAGTCTTTCGCTTCTTGTGCCATCTTGTGGTTGTAGGCTTAGATGTCTGCTTCAACTGGATTCTTCAACGACACAGATTGGGACTTTTGTGCCCTCTGCACAGTACAACAACATAGTCAAACCATTGGAGTCAATGATCAAATAATATGACCATGTAACTTGGTCAGACATTATGCCGGGTGCACAGCTTGTAGGGCCTGGTGGAAGGTTTGAGGGTCTTTTGGATGACCAGCTGGAAGCTTTGGTGGGTGCTGAGGTGCTCGTTGCCATTCCTGGTGCTGGGCATGGCTGCACCCAATCTTTTTGCCATGGCGAGGCAGTTGCGGCAGTTGCCCAGTTTGCCAAGTTTGAAATGAGCCGGTGATGTGCACAGGCTGGTACCCATCATGCTTGGGTGCCTTCGTGCGGTGGTTGGCAGGCACAACACGGCCATGCTTCATGAAGCCTTTGCGATCGCCAAATGTCTGGTTTTGCACAAGTTTTCTGGAAGCCATTTGCAGGATGTAACTCGATGTAACTCGATGTCTAGATTCACAGCATGCAACTCGAAGCACCGTTTGGATCAACTTTCAAGACCTTGACTTGAGCCACTTGAAGTGTTTGCAGAAGCAAAGATCCAGGCCCATGTGGAGTATCCGAGGAACGCCAAAAACATGTTCAAGACAACAACTTACATAACTTAAACATGTTCAAGACAACAACTTACATAACTTTCGTGGTGAAACCACCTTTCGATGTCTCAACTTCGCTTGAAACCACGGGGAACCTCAGAAGCCTGGCCTAAAGCTTCAAGGCAGGGCATGGCAATGTGTCGACATGCAGGGCTTCACTGCTGTGCAAGTTGTGTAAACATCAGCCCACTAGTGGTGCACTATCCAGGCCCAAAGCACGGCGCAAGGTTCTTATCATTGGTAACTTGGCACATCTTGGCACAACTTGGTGCAGTATGCTTTTGTGACTGTTGTGGGCTGACTCAGTAATTTCTATTCTCTTCATTTCTCTTTCATCCTCAATCTGATGGGCTCCAAAACCACTTCTTGAGACTAATTCGCCCCGATTGAACTGGTAGATTAGATAAACATATTAATCTTAGTGATCGGGATATAGATATATATAGATATAGTTATCGTCATATTTATATCATATTTATATCATATTTATCGTCATATTTATATCATATTTATATCATATTTATATCATATTTATCGTCATATTTATATCATATTTATATCATATTTATCGTCATATTTATATCATATTTATCGTCATATTTATATCATATTTATATCATATTTATCGTCATATTTATATCATATTTATATCATATTTATAAGCTCATGTCCTGCCCAGGAATTGCTGGATGCAGTGGCTGTGGCAAGAGCACTTTGGCAAAGACCTTGGCCAAAGACCTTGCTTCACCGGTGACTCCCGTGAGTTTGGATTGGTATTTGCGGCCCAAATGGATGCCCAAGGTGGGCCGTTGGAGCAACCAGATAAAATGGATCCATTTGTTGACTGACATGATACTATTATATGAATATGTAATGAATGTAATGTATATATATATATGAATCATATATAAATTGTATAGTGACAACAATGGTGTCTTCAGGTTCGATGGGTGAGGATGTGGACTGATAAATGAGACTGTTGCTTTTTCATCGCGACAGGTCGATGGGGGACGCAACTGGGAGACACCTGAGGGTATTGATTGGAAAAGTCTACGAAGCCATTTGCAGACAGCTTTGGAGACTTTCTCGCAGGCAGAGACAGTCACTTGGGATCAATATGGATCAACGTGGATCAATGGATCAATATGGATCAATATCGATCAATATGGATCAATATGGATCAATATGGATCAATCACACTCGACATGACTTTTCTTTTGTCATTATCCAGGCATAATTTTTTCAGAACACTCAGGTTCCGGAGGAGTTGAACCTGGGTCCAAATGATGAAAATGTCATCCAGAAGGGCCAGGCCACCGGGATCTACAGGGACACATCCGGCCAGCTTCGCAGGTTTCAAGGAGTCTTTTTAGTCTACGATTAATCTCCCCTGGTCTCCTTGATTCTGCGCTTGTTTCCAAATCCTCGGTTCAAATCAATGATTTTGCGAAGCTGCAAAGCTTTGGCAAGGCAGGCCGCCACTTAGATGCAAGCACCGTGGTGCTTGTGGTAGATTCTTGGCAGCACAAGTGAAGTGCCTTCTTTCTCGAGTTGGTCTCATGTTTTTTGCCCGAAATGCAAAACGCATCTTGTGAGGAAGGCTTCCTCCTCTTTTACGAGGACCAGATTGCAGAGATGCTACACATCAAGATTTGGATAGATGCTGGTTTACAGTCCCTTGGAAGGTATTTGGCAAGGGTGTCCAAGAGTTTGTGGAAGTTTCGACTTGGGTTGGAATGATATCTTCAAAAGCTGCCAGCACCTAGTTGAGACTCAACCAAAGCCAAGGACCTGTATGGAAAGACGCCACAAGCGCGGAAAAGCCTCTCGCAAAAAAGATGTCGAGAATTCCAAGCTCTGGTTCCGAGATTCGATTTGGAGCCATTACCTTCGGTACAAGCAGAAACAGCTTAGCAATGCTGTCGGTGCTTTGCGCGTGGACGGTGAGGTGTCTAAAGAAGAAATCCTTTCTCAGTGTTTGCCTTATTGCACAAAGATGGTGTCTGCAAGAGTCCAGGTGGTCCTAAGATCGCGGAAGGAAGCAGCTTCTGCAAACTCGACCAATGGTGCCAATGGCCGGAAGGTTCGCGATCGCGAAAATGGGCGTTCTGCGCCACAGAAGCGACCGCAAGAAGACAACTATGAATCCAGAGGCTGTTCACGCAGATGTCGATAGTTTGATGCAGCGATGAGAAAAGGATCAGCGGCCATAGTTGCACTGCCACCTTGGCTACCTGTTTAATCCGCAGGGAGTTCCTTTACTGTCTGTAAATGTAGGTATGAACAGTGTGAATCATGGGCACGCTGCAGAGAGAGAGAGAGAGAGAGCTATTGGTTGGTCTAAACCTCCAGCCTCAAGATCCACTAAACCATTCACAGATCAGCCCGGACAGGATTCCCACGGCTTACCTGAAGTCTGCCCCTGCTGCCATCCTCGTTCTGACCGGACCTGGTGGGACAACCTGTCGCAGTTTTCTTCTATTCACTTTCAGTGACTTTCAGCGGGAGGTACTTCCATCGATTTGATTTTCTGTCAATTCCCTCATAGTGATCCACAATTGAAATTCCCTCATAAATAGTGATCCACAATTGAAGTGGATGTGACTTTTCCAAATCATGTGCAGCTTTAGGTCTGGCTCTGTACTTCTTTCGCCCAAGCATCCCATGGAAAAGACCGGTCAGGCAGGGTCGGCAGGAAGAGTGAGCTGGAAGCGTTGTTTATGACTTCCCATGGTAGACTTCCTTGCAACATGAAACTGCCTTTGTTTCTGAAGTGTTAGGATATGCACTGATTGTATTCCCTCAGCCTCAGAGCAACCATGACAGAGCTGCAATACTCAGAGGCTTGCATTGTCGCCTTTGTGCCTCAAGCGGTTAGCTTTCAGGGTGCAGAACATCGCATCCTAAAGTCAGTAGGAACTCGTGAAAAGCGCCTTCACATATGGCCATGCAGATTGGTGCACCTGCTGGAAACAGCGCCTCTATTGCACTGGACGGAGTGAATCTGGAGCCAGACGCTGCTCTGCATGCTAAGTACAAGAGGCTTGCTGTTCTTGTTGTCAGAGGTGATCCTTTTCCCAACACTTTTTGCTCAGGCTTGAAAGTCGCCGCACGGCCGTCTTCCAGCATGGCGAGGCCAATTTCTCCTGGCGCCGCATCTTTGCGCGGAGCACTTGTTGGAAACAGTGCCTTGACTTCAGCGGACGTAGTGAATCTAAAGCCACTTGAAACACTGCTTTGCATACTCTGCATACTGGTTTTCATAGCCGCTAGTGATGTATGATGCTTTTTGGCCGCTTGGTGCTGAGGCAACTTCAACAAGGTCGCTCCTGCATCTTCCAATGCAGGAGTGATGTTAGTACTCCAAGGAGTTAAATCGTAAGGGGTTGGGAAGACCTGAGACAGGTGGATCAAACAAAAAAAGGGATTTGGCCGTTCATCTTGAATATATTGTTGAGTATTTCATTTAATTAATGAGAGATGAACCATCACGATGGTGTGTAAACAGAGTTTGATGGACGTCGCATGTGATTCAGCCTCTCTGCAGGACTAGGAATTCTTGGCGCCATGCTGCTTAGCTCGTTGGGGCACAGCGAAATTGACAGAATGTAAAGACTAAGTTGTTCTATAGCTTGTTTTCAAAGGTAGTTTATGGTAGTTGTTAAATCGATTTCAAACATTTTTCCAAGACCTGCGGGGAAACATGTCAACCAAGTCAACCAAGTGAGATGTGCCAAAGAATTTAGCAATTGTTTGAGGCTTTTGGTGACCGTGCTTTGGACGGGTCGCAAACGTGTCTCACTGGCTGCGAGAGGAGCGATGCGATGGGCAAATCGCCAGTGTTTTTTTTTTTGGTCAATCCATGTCCATTTTGATAGCGGTAGTACCATGGGCCGCAGTTGCTTGCGGTTTGGCCAGGACGAAAATCGCCGTGTGGGGATGGAGGCACATGGCAGATGTGATTTTCATGTTTTCATTCTATGATTCTCCTTGCATTTTGTCACTAAGATTCTCAGTTTGAGAATTTTGAGAGGAGCTACCGGGTATGACTTTAGCTTAAGGGAACCCAGCCAAGAATTCGCTTCCCGAGGGTTGATGCCTAGAAATTACTAGAGGAACGGCTCCAACGGCCGAAAGCATGGCAGGCCACGGGAACGTGCAAAGTCCTGGCGGGTGTTTTCAACTTTGCAAAACTACGCGACTTGGTCAAGGGGCGAGGCATCGCTGAAAAGCCGCCTAGAACAAGTTGAGATGAAAGCGGCATTGATGCCGCAAACACAGAGCTGCAATTGGCATTGGAAGAGGAGTTGGCTCATCACAAGGCAGCACAAAGGATGCTGGAGCATCACTTTGTTGGCGCTCAAACCGGATACAATGAGATGAGCTTCCTTTTGGAGGCCACAAGAGCTGAACATTCTGAGCAGTTCAAAGCCCTGTCAGATCGTCAGAAGAGGTCTTCTGCTGCTCAAGGCCCAAATGACAAGGCTTTCAACAGCCTGCAGTACGCTCTTGGAGAAGATCAAAACTTTGACTGCAAAACTGAGAACATACAAGGAGGAGAACGAGGCACTTCGCAATGAGAACCAGACGCTTCGCGATGAACTCACTGAACAGAAAGTCGGTGAGCAGAGGCGCCAGCAGCATCCAGCAGCTGTTGGCAGAGAATCATGTGCTCCAATGGCGCCTGGAGAATGCGGATCGGCAGGTTGCTGTTTTACTGGAGGATTGTTGAGCTTTGCTCCGTTGGCATCCCTGATTCGGCACCTGTGTGTTGACACCAACTGTTTACACTGCATACGACTGCAGTTGGCCAGACGTGGTCTGTCTTGTTTCGAATTTTTGTGGGAAGCCAATTCTCCCCCACTTTGTAGGCATGGCAGGCCATGGCAGTTTCCAAAAGCCCAGTCCCTTGGTGGCAGATCTGTACTGAAGGACTGGTTGACTTTGTGAATTCGTGGGGCCCCATGGCAAGGTCTTGGGGCCCGCCGCTCCATCGGAGCCCATGCTTCGATTGCCAGTTAGAAATGGTGTGGTGCTTCGAGCTCGGTGCAACCCACCGGTCCGACCAGTCACTGACCTACCCAATTGTGGTGGAACTCTGGGACTTTGGAGGAGCAAACATTTTTTGCTGAGTATCTTGGGGCACAATGACACCGGGCATTGGGTTTGGGCCTTAGACCCGCGATGGGATGAGTTCTTATCTCAGATATCTCTTGTGGTTTTGCTGTGGCTTGAGCTTTGGGAAGCATTTTGATTTTGGCAGATGCATGTTCTGCATGTTTTCAATCTTCCTCGATACCGAGGAAAGGATTCAAAAAAGATTTGAGGAAGCATGGCCGCAGCTGGCCAATTACTCAGACTTGTTCTAGAGTGATTTCTCCTGGACACCGTTTCTGGTTGGGGATTTTCTTTCGTCTGGGTATTCCGGGAATCCTCCAAGAGGGTGTTATTTACCAGCTGCGAGTTGCCACATCAGAGCGGAGGCGAGTGTTAATGCAAGTAAAACTAGGAAGATATTGTCCTGGTGAAGCCTTTCTCACTTCAAAAAAATGAAAGCATGCAACGCTCCAGAAACCCTGCAGCTTGGCATTGAGAATGCTGAGCCTGAAGTTCGATCTTTTGCTGGACCAATTCTGAACGCTACAGGTCACGACGTTTGCAGGGATCCAAGAAGCAACAGCAACGGTACTAGCAACACGATTTCTTGAATTTGGTGAAGGATGTGAAGGTATCTCAGGCTTTGTGCAAAGATCTGCAAAGTGCACAAGGTCTTTCTGCTGCATGGTCTTCTTCCGGTTTTTTCCACTATGTCCTCCTTATCTGTCGTGTGATCCTCAGGTTGGACCACACATCCATGCTTCTGTGGGACATTTTAGTATAATTTCTGCTCCCGGCAGCACATCCTCTTGGTAGTTGAAAGATGTTGAAAGTGTGAAAGGGCCTTTTGACATCCTTTGACTGTAAGATGCCATGGTGTTGCTACTTGAGATGAAAGACAAGACCTTGATTTTCAATGATTTTCACATCTTCAGGAGGACTGAGAGTGAGGTCTGTGAGAGGTGTGATCCCTTAGGTGCTCGGTGCACTTAGCCCAGCTGTTGAATCCTACAGTTGGCACGGCTGGGACCTTCTGAATCGGGTGGCTTGTGCATCGTGTGCGACCCAGGACCCAGCCACAGAACAAAATAAAAGTCATGTGGAAACAACACAGGCATGTCGAAACACGAAAAAGTCATCTTAAAACAACTTGGAGAAACAAACTTGGAAAAAATGGGGCACCCAAGGCTTGGACTCTACAGCCTCTTCTCTGTCATGTCCTCAGCCCCACACTGGTAGAAGGGTAACACAGTGACATTTCTCCAAGGTCATGGTCCATCAACTCCAGCGGGAGTACCCTGAGGCAGGTCTTGTAGGTCAGCATTCGTGTTTCAAACCCATTCCATCCATACACTGGCAGTCGAAGTCCACATGTGGTTCCTTCAAGTGCTGTACCATTGACCAGGGGGCTTGTAGGGGCCTGATTACAGCCAAAGGGAATTGGGATGATCGGGATGATTGGGTAGCAGACCAGGTAGCAATTGGGATCCGTCAGAATCCGTGGCGCAGGACGAGCTGCCAACAGCCAGCATCGCAGTGAGGGCCTTGATCCGGGGAGTCCTCGTGCTGCGAGCAGCTGCAAGGGCCTGTTGCTTTTTGGCGGCCTGGCTCTATTTGCTGTTGATCTTGGACTGCCTGATCGATTGCGTTTGGTGGCAAGAACAAGGGACGCCTCTAGGCATCCTGGGCCCCTTGGGCTGGATTCTAAGTGCAGATTCGCATCCATTTGCCAACGAAAAATCTGTGATCTTCTGCATGAATCTGATCTCTGTCATCTCCCAGCAGCGGCTGGTAGAGCTCTTGGCCCGTCGAGAGGTCTTGTTGCGCTTGATTGGCGCAGAACGAGTGATGGCTTCCACCATTTGTTTGCTCTTGAAAGGTGTGGCCGTGGCTTGTACACCGTCGAAAAGTGCCAATCCCATCGCTGAGTTCCTCGTCCAGGTGGCCCCTCCTCCAGCTTGCTGCGTGGCGATTGTGGCACTGCGAGACCATGCGATGCCGCTGGGCGTCGCAGTGGTCGTGATACCTTGGATTACCGGTTTGCTCGGCAGTGCCAGTTGCCTTCTTGTTGGACTCCTAGGGGGTGCTTACGCTGCTCACGCGGTGCTATCTGTCTGGTATCTCTACAGAGCAGACTTGGATTCTGCTGCACTTCGCTTGGCTATGCTTGTGCCTGGGGGTGTGTCAAGTCAAGCCAAGGGATTGCTCAGAGGTGTTCTGGCTGGGGCACACCGACGCGCAGTTCGGATGATGGCAATGGGCATTTTGCAGAGGGCCTTCCGCTGGCTCACTCAGCGCTGAGCGATGCCGCCTCAGTTGCCGTAATTTGCCGCGGATACCTTTGGATGCCATTCTGCTCTCTTCGAGCTGGAAATTTAAAGATCCATTGATCAACTGATCAATGACTGATCTCATTTTATGTGCTTCCTGTGATAGACAGAAGATTCCCTTCGAAGTCTTGAGGCCTGAGAGTCTTAAGATTTTTGTCTTGGCACTTGATCAGCTGGATTAATTCAGAATCTGAACGAAGAGTACTGACATTTGTTTCCACTTTAGGTTATTGATATTTATTGATTTATGGATGCTTTTTTGCTCAAGCTCTGAAACTGTGCCTTAGACATGTACATATTCTTGCGAAGGCATTCGTTGCTTGGTTTTGTGTGTGAGTATGACATGTGGTGACCATGTGGTGACCATGTGGTGGATGCCTTTGCGGCCCTGGGGTTGCCATGGCCATGGTCACGGGCTTGACCGGGGGCCCGTGGAGACTGCCATGCAACCCTGCACGAATTGGCTGGCAAGCAGCGACGGCCGGGTTGTGAAGCAACTGCCAGCCAATGAAGCTGCATCGAAGTCCGCTCAATGATGCCAATGTTCAACTTGAAAGGCAACGTCGAGTTGTTGGAACATTACTGTAGAAACTCCGAGTTTGGAAGGTTCTTGAAATTCAATCAACTTCATGTTGGATCTCTTAATGCCAGCATCGACTTCGCTGCAGATAGTTCAGTGAGATAAGCAGGGCCTCTGCCAATGGAGCGCCCCAGGGAAATCTTTCAGCTTGACAAAAGTTGAAGAATTCCCCTTGTCCAAAGTCTTGTGCTTGTGATTTCAAACTCAGGGCTCAAGGCTCATGAAATACAAGTCCTGCGCCTCATTCCGCATCTACATTTATAGATCGATTGCATGCCATGCCATAGCAATGATTTCACTTGAACTGAGCTGATCAAAACTCTCTCCCGCTGGGTTGTGTGGTGGCATTGGCTCACAGCGTTGTGCTGAGAGTGCTTGACAGCTGAGGCCCTGAAACGATGGTTGCATCCTTCCAAGTGGGAGCATTTGACGTCATCCGTATCAATGTAAGAAGTCGATAGTGGCCGTCTCCCATCCTTTTTGTTTGTGCAGCTCTGGCAGGGCAGCCGCTTTGGTGGCGAAAGCTCCGACTTCGCACTTTGCCAGCACTCGGAGGCCTTCATGCGCAGTGGGGACGAGTAGATTCCACCATGAAAGTCCCGTGTGGTTTTGTAGTGGACAAATGTGGACAACCATTGGTTTCCCTTCCAACTTAACAGGACGATCATTGGAAAAATTGCTGAAACCTGGTGAGGCGATGAGCCTCTATGATGTAGCCTTTACGGCTGTGCTCCACTCAGAGTTGGGCAAATCATGGGATGCAGTCCATGAGCCCATTTCTTATCATTTCTTTACATTTCTTATCATTTCTTTACATGCCAGATCATGCCAGTATCATGGGTTCTGGTGATGGTGTGCCTTTAGTTGTTGAAGAGGTTCCACAACGAACATCTTGTAGCTGCGGAATAAAATGGGCATGATTTGCGCTTAAGGCACTTCCGTCGCCATCCCGCACACAGCCCACACAGCAGCGCTGGAATGCTGCAAGCCAAGACCGAACTTTTGAGGATCCAATACTTTCTAATACTTTCTAGACAGTCTCATTGCTTTCTTTACTAGCCATTCCTTGAGATCCCAAAACAAAAGCATTATGAAGTATCAACAGCATCACAAGGCCAGGGCTTCGTCAGATCTGGCGAGCAGCAGAGATCGGCAAGCACAGGCAACTGGTGGAGTTCAGGGAGGTGACAATGTCCGATGGCTCAAAACTACGAACCCCCAAATTGAATTTTTGAATAGTGAAGCTTCAAAATTTTGTGGATCTATAGGCCTCTAGGTGTCCCACTTTTGAGCCATAGGGGCCATACCCAAATGCCAAATTTGCAGAGGATCTCAGTCGCTTGGAGTTGGGAACAGAGTCGAAGCAGCTGACGCTCAATATGATTCGAACACACAAAATGCATCAAAATGCGACTGTTTTGTACTCAGACTAGGAAATTAGGAAAGGGTTCCCGCTCCAGAAGGAAGTTTCTTGCCGTGTTTGGGTGCTATCCTGGATGCGTTTTATGCGGCGCTTATGTTCCGCTGGTGTTCTGCTACCTCTGTAGCAGTTCAAACATGTGCATGATGAACCAATATGAATATAACAAACGCCCCAAGAATGCAGCCTGCGCTGCCACTTCCTAAACCTAAACATGTTGTTGGGACTGGCGTGCTTTTGCCATTTTTTTTTTGACATTCTCAGGTTCAGCCTGGCTTTGAACTGTCTCTCTTAGGCTCTTTCTCCCAACTGTTTGTTGACACAGGCGATGCTAGCATCTGTGAGTGTTGGTGTGGGTGCCCTTGCAGCCTGCGCACCAAGGAGCACTGCTTTGTTGGCAGCAGCCAATGTTTTTTGGGTCAAACAGCACACTTATTTTTTTCGAAAAAACACCACTTCAATTCCGCGGAGCCTGGCTGCTTCACCTTGCAGGAGGCAGAGACCTTTTCCGAGGTCACTGACCAAGAGAAGAGCGTTCTTCGATGAATGGCTCTCAGAACAACTTCTTGTGCTTGTCGTTGAGAGAAGTGAAGGGCAAGGTGCTGAACTTTGAGTTTTGAGATGTTTTGAGACTTTTCTGAAATCTTTCTCACTATCGTCTATTTCGTCTATTTGATGGTGTTGATGCCTGAAATGAACTGAGTTTGGATCGCAGCCTCCGAAGAAGACGGTCATTATCACCGGCGCCTCCTCAGGCCCCGTGGATCACCATGGATCACTGTGGATCACCATGGATCACCATGGATCACCATGGATCACCATGGATCACCATGGATCACCATGGATCACCATGGTGGCAACAACTGCACCGGGGATTAGCACCGTTTCCGGTAGGTCTGGGACTTGCAGCCGCCAGAGAATTGGCCAAGAGCGGAGAGTGGCCGGAAGTCTCAATGGTGATTGGCTGATGGGTATAGACCAAGCATGGGGATATCACTGTCATGAAAACACATCAGTACATGGCATGTACATGGGATTCAATTGATTCCAGCAAAACATGGGGAGATATCCATTGGTTACCAATCCATCCGGATGCAACTTTTTCCATGATCAAAATTCGGAGATCTCAACATGTGCCGCTAGCATCACCTGAGGCGAGTGATCATGGCATGCCGAGACTTCGTAAAGGCATGCTGTGTTTGCTTCTTCAACATGTTGTGACTCAAACACAAAAAACCCACATGGAACATGTATGTGTACATTTACCTGAATGTCGTTGCTGATTCTTTCTCTTTCTCTTTCTCTTTGTCTTAGTCTGTCTCTTTGTCTTTCTCTTTCTCTTTGTCTTTGTCTTTCTCTTTCTCTGTCTCTCTCTCTCTCTTTTCTTCCCTCTTTCTCTCTGTAGATCCACACACAGTCACGCACATTGATGTGTGCCACAATGAAACGTTGGATTATATAGCCATAGCCCCATAGTGGGGGATGGTCATGGGCGGGGGTTCGCTTGATTATGGGCGTTTGGCTCGCTTGTGCGTGGGCTGTTGGCTCTCTTGAACGTGGGCCATGTGGCACCTGACATGTTGCACATGCTCGCTTATGCTCAACAGGGGGGGTGGGGGGGATTATAACGTTCTTGACGACTTTGAGATAGGTAGGTAGGGTCCACGGAACTTGTTGCCGTTGTTGACATGTTGTACATGCTCGCTTATGCTCAACCCTAGCCCATGTGGTTCATGTGCCCAAGCCCCCTTGCCCCCATGTCCCCATGTCCCTGCCCCCCTGTCCCCTAAGTGTCAAACCCTAAAGGTGTGAGGGGTGTCCATGTCTCCAAAGTGTCCAATGTTCAAGTGATCCAGAAACCCATGTCCAAGTGAACCTACAAAGCTCCAAGTGATCCCCAATATTCACGTGATCCAAAAGCCAATGTCCAAGTGATCCTGGCGCCGATTGGGATACTACCATTTATAGAGAATTACTGTTAACATGGCGAACTTGAAGGCTGAGAAGGTGGCAAAGGAGAACAATTTTCCTGAGGACCGGGTGGTGCCAAAGCCAGTTATGGGGTTGGCATTCAAAAAATTAGGATTTACCCTCTGGTTATTTAACATAGCCATGGAAAATCACCATTTTTAATAGGTAAACCATCTATAAATGGGCCATTTTCCATGGCTATGTTAAATAACCAGAGGGTACCTCCAAAGTGAGCCCAATTCAATTTGTACTGTAGAAACAGAAGGATTTACCACGAAATGATGTACCTGTTCATGGGGAAGATGATACTGATAAACCATCAATCCATCAATTTTGGCCGCCCAAATTTTAAACAAAACCATTTTCCAAGCCGCCTCCAGCCAACAGTCACCAGGAGAACTTTCTTGTTTTGCATTTGGACTTGGCTGCAAACAGCAGCGTGCGCCCAGCTTTGTGAGAGTGGCAAGAAGCCAAAGGTCAGTACCCTGTGGTAGTTATAGCTGGGACTGCAACATTCTTTTTTGGCACAATCATCTAGAAACGCGTTCTAATTTTTTCTAGGGGGTATTTTCTCGTTGATTCCCAGAGAGCGTTTTGTTTTTGCGCAGGTGAGACAATTTGTGAGCACATTCCGCTCATTGAACATTGGGTCGGTGTCCTGGTACTTGTGGTACTTTGCCTCGTTGTTGCTTCGGATGGAGAGCAGCCAATGGCAACGGAATCGGATCCGACGGCAGCTGAGGCTTGATGCTTTGGTATGCAACGCAGCTGTGTATTTTCCAAACGCACACAAGGAGGGAGCATTCTTTCCTGGGCTCTTCCCAGGCGAGGTGGATGACATGTCTCGCAACAGGGAAAGACACAGTACATATGGGTTTGTGTGAACAGATTAGCTATCCCAAGCTGTGAATCGTCATCATATTGCCCATTATTGCCCACGATTTGATTAAATTATTTGATTCAAAGATGATATTTGATGATTTTGATGATTAAATTATTTGATGAAATTATTTGATGATATTTCATGGCCATTTCGTGCGAAACAATGTTAAAATGATGTGACATCTGGACAGGTGGTGGACCAAGGTGGTCAGCAGATGGCCACGAGTTGAGCTTCGCTACGAACTACTTAGGCCTGGACTACGGCACTTGGATGTTGAAACATACTTTGTTATATGGCTATGGATCAATACCTATACAATCCTATACATACAATTTTTAGTGGGATGAACATCCATAAATCCCAGCTATTTTGATGTGAACTACGGGGGGATAGGGTTTTGACCCATCCCCATATAGTGTTTGTTAGTTTGTTAATTGTTTGTTGCACCAGTCATAACTGCAGAACCTCATAGTTGGAGCTGTGGCTTTTCATTGCTTTGCCCGGCCAGGTCACTTCCTTTTGTGCAATCTCTTGATGGAAGGCTCTGTAGTTGTGTGTTATCTTGATGCAGATCTCAGAATTGTCATACAAACCATACCACCAGCATATATTTTTTTCCATTAAATTATTGCAATCCATCCATTTTGGGGTACCCCCATTAATAATGGCGGTACCCCAAAATGCATGGATTGTAGTTTCTAACGGTGAATCCTCTTAACATGGATGGTTTAGGGGGACCTCCATTTATGGAAACCTCCAATATTTGGCTCACATTTTGCAAATCAAACATGATCCAGCCCCGCCTGGCAGATCTCAAGAAGAGCTCTGTGAAACCGGCTCGCTGCATTATTCTTGGCACCGTCACTGCCAGCATCAACGATAAAGAGGTGCGGCATTCAGCGTCTGGCAGCGCTCAAGAAAACGGGCTGCCGATTTTCTCAAAGTTCCAAAGCAGAGAGAGATGCAGTTGATTGGAACTTTGGCAAATTGAATGTGATATCCTACCATCAATCAATTTTCCCCACATAATTCACTCCGGCAAAATTCTCCAAGTTTCCATAGTGGCCAAGGTTGGAGGCATGATCCCTCCGATCGCAGATCTGGGACAGCTTCAAGGCGCCTCCACGGGGTACATGCCGTCGGGTGGGGCAAGCGGGCAACCGCGACAGGCCTGGAGTCGGGGATGAAAAAGCCGGTGCAGACCTCAGCGACTGGTGGGGCTTTGTGATTTATGGGAAATTATGGGAACACCCAAAAAAAAGGATGGGAAAATCCAAAGATGATGGGTTTGTTTGAAAACGATGGGAAAAAACTACACTCATTTCAAATGTTTTCCGAGGGATTAGGACATCATTTTCCACATTTCAATGGCCTGAAATGGGGGTCTATTTATCCATCTTCAGAGGCAATGCTTGAGGCAATGCTTGAGCATGGGTTGAACGCAGCTTGGAATGGCTTGGAATGGCTTGGAACTCCCAACTTGTCCCTGGAGAGTTGGATGATGTTGGATGGATATCCGGTGCGCACCTCGTGCCAGACCACCATGATCGATAATGGTCGATTCAATGGAGCGAAGGCATACAAGGATAGCAAGGCGGGCGACTTGGACCAAATCTGTCGTTATTGGATTGACTTAAGGGACAATGAAACCATTGTTTTTACTCCATTGTTTTTTGGGTTTGTCTATATTGCCCTGTAAATTCATGAATTCAATCCTGGGATTCTGGAGTTTGTCACTTTGATTCCTCAGTGTCTCTGGGTAGGTGTGCGACGTGATGCTCATGCGAGAGCTCCACAAAAGATACCATGAGAGCACAGGGATCTGCTTTTCATCTCTCTACCCAGGCCTGCCAATTTGCTCAGCACTAGGATATTTCAGAGACGTTATGATAGTCTACGACATGCACATATATACACATACATACGTACATAACATAACAGTGTATGTGTGCACATATCATAGCATTACATCTTAAATTAGATTACTATCGGTTTATACTAGATCCTCAATTATTTGGCTTCCCAAGGATGTGAGGAACTGAGTTTTGAAGCCATCCTTGGACAGTTTCTTCTGTCAGGTTGCATCGCTGACACAAACTTATTTAGAGAGCACTATCCAGTATTCAGGTCTGTTGCTCAGCAGTTCATGGGGATGTTTCGGGCCGATTTGGCCGATTGTATTGCCATGCTGTTGCCTCTAGTGTGCACTGAGGTTTTTGTTTCCCATCCTACAGAAAGAGGTTACCAACGCGTGCCCTTATCAGTCTACTCCACGCACAGGGTGGGAGTTCCGACAACGCCACAAGGTATGTCAGTGAAGAAGAGGCTGGCAGAAGGTTGGCAAAAGTTGTTTCAGATCCAGGCTACGCTCAATCAGGCCAGGTCTGCCAGGTCACAGGATGCTGCACTTTTTTTGCCCTTGCTGCATTTAATTCTCTTTGTGACTTGGAAGATCTCGGAAGGTGTGTACTTCAGCTGGGGTGGTGAGTCAAGGACTCATTTACCGTCTCTTTTCATGTACTTCAGTGGTTGTGAACTGTGTCAAAAGTTGCAAAAACGTCTGGGTTTTTCTGAGGTCCGGAACTGGAGGTGCAGGTGGAACTGACGCGGTAGAGAACATGGACGCCTCAAATGACAGGTTCTTGCAGTGCGCTTTCCGTTTGATTCCAGCAGTTTAGACGTGTTCACAAGACCTGAGTCTTCCGGCAACTTGCCAAGAGAAGGATTGCGTATTTGATAGATCCAGTGACATCCAGGGTGCCCAAGGTGAGAAATTGGCAGTGATGGACATTCAGGTACGGCAGCTTCCGAACTCTCAAAGAGAGCGAGATTGGCGGAGATGCTGGCGATGATGAAAGATGTAAAAGGCAGCTGATGGCAGCTGTATGCCAAATTTTACGCAGCCTGTGTGTCTTCAAAAGGAGTGCATTTCCTTGGCGTTTCCCGTTTCCTGGGCGTTTCGGTTGGAGGCTTTGGAATCTTAGCGAGAAGCTGGTTGGAGAGCGCTTCTCCTGAGCTGGTGTCCACCCCTCAGAATGCAGTCCGCATCAGCAATGCGGCAATACTTGAGATCTCTCCACAGTAATTGGCTTCATCATCCTTCGCCTTGCCTTCGCCTTGAAATCGACTTTTTTGGCTCAAGTACTTACCAGTACTTATCATTTTGTGTGATAGAAATTCTGACTTGAGGGATGACGTTGTTTGTGCCAAGTGCCGGTTGGGCAGGCTTTCCTGAAGCCCTGTCCAGAACTGGTGAAAGCCGCCCGTCTGTCGCTTTTCGCCAGGAATCTGCGTTGCCTCGACACAGCTTTGGCACAGGTGTTTCGGTCCTCTGGAGAAGTTGCTTGCTGGGCGCCACAGCTTGTGCTGCCAGGGAACGGAGTGCAAGAAGTTCAAGGAAACCGAGATGGCAATCTAGGAGACCTCAGAACAAGATGGAAGTATTGAAGAAGACCTCAGAGAGACGAGCTCTTCACAAATCAGGAGATGTTTTGAGCACTGGCACGTTGCCCGTGGGTAGCGGATTTGAGCTCTACTACGAGGAGCACGGTCAGAAGGATGGTATTCCTGTGGTATTCTTGCATGGAGGGCCTGGAGCAGGAAGCTCTCGTCGGATGGCGCAATTGTTTGATCCCAGCAAGTACCGCATCGTGTTGTTCGACCAAAGAGGCTGTGGAAAAAGTGCTCGAAATGGTTCCACTACAGCGGAAGAACAATTGGAGGACAACACCACATGGCACCATGTGTCAGACTTAGAAGCGCTGCGGACACATCTCAACATTGACAGATGGGTAGTAGCTGGCGGTTCTTGGGGGACCTGCTTGGCTTTGGCCTATGCGAGCAAGTTCAAAGATCGCGTGCTTGGAATGGTCTTGCGGGCAGCCTCCTGGTTCTACCACGTTTTACCGTTTCTTTTCATAGTTCTGCACCAACTGCATCAGCTATCACATATTCTAGCTCCCAATTTTTGTGTCTTGGATCATTCTTCACTTCAGCATCGTTGAATTTCCGGTGTATCAGCATCAGAATGCAGAAGTATCAAGATGTGTCAAGATGTGTCAAGGTCTTCCTTTTTCGACCCGAAGAGCTTGAATTCTTCTGCGGACCTTCAGGGGGTGCAAGATCCTTGGCTCCATCTGCATGGCGGAGCTTTAGCTCTTGGCTTCCCTCTGGACTAAGCTCTGCACCAGCAGTCGCAGCGGCGTTTCGTAGAGCTGCGCTTGGCAAAGATGGGTGACATTAGCTTGGGAAGTAGCAGCTTTGTTTTGGACCTTTCCGATTTTGTCATGTCATTTGTATAGTTGAATCGAATTGAATGGATGTACCAACTGGACATGCTGAAGGTATCTGGCAGCTTGGCACTAAGGTCCATGTCTCCATCTGATGCCCTTGGCAAGTGGCGAGCATGGGAGAATCACTTGTTTTCGCTTCGTGAACAAGATCCGAAACTCTCATTCAGCTCAACTGGCGATAAAGATTTGCCAGAGGTAAGCCCTCCAAAAACACCATGGCCGAAAGCGACCAAATTTAATATCCAAGCCTTGCTCACGCTGCATTATGTGGCAGAGCAGGGCTTTCTAGAAGAGGAGCTTTTAGACTCTGCAAAGGAGTTCAATTTTCCATTGAAAATGGTCCATGGCCAAAACGACTGCATTTGCCCTGCGGAAAATGCCAGAAATCTGGCATCTGCGGTTGGGAGCAATGCCGAGCTGCTCTTGACCAATGCTGGCCACTCTCAGTGGGATGCAGAGAATATTGATGCTTTCGTCCGGGCGACCGATGAAATCGCGTCTGAATGCCTGGTCACCTGTTGATTTGTATCACAGCTGACGCATTTGGGAGACTTTTGATGCCCCGAACTCCATCTGCACAACCTGATGGACAGTGATCAGTTTTCTAGCATGGACAGAAACTTGATAAGCAGCTGCGAGAAAAAGATCCAGCAGCCTTTGAAGATCACTTTGAGAGGCATGTCCTCGTAGCTCAGGTGATGGTTGTGATATGGTTGTTCTGGTTTTGAATGGCATGATGCGGCATGTGTATGTAGCAAATGCATGGCAAATGCATGAATGCACCTCCTAGGCGAAAGCAAAGGCTTCTTGCCGAGCGTGGCAAGATGCTTTTGCTGCACACTTGTGCTAGAAAAGCACCTTGGGAGTGTTACTCTGCTTGCAAGGCGACGCGGTGTGCGCACCATTAAGCCGGGCAGAGCACTGCGATCCAACAACTGCTTCCGTGTGTGACTTTTTGAAGGTCCACTGCACCTCTGTACCGAGTCAGTCAGAGACAACGTCTAGGTGTTTCTTGTTTATTTGAGAATTAGTGACAAGGCATATCGGAAGGGTTTGCTGATTGAGGATTGGAGGCACGCAGGTGACCTGGCCTAGCAAGGCCGGTATCCTGACTGACAGTCAGGTTTTATTGCTCAAAGTTTTTTGCTTTGCGCAGACCAGCACTGGAAAGACAGTGTATTCCTGCTAAAAAAGTGTGCTGGTACATGGTGTGCTCGCTGCTCAAACAAGTGTGCAATAGATTCACAAGCACAGAGTTGCTTCTGATGTTTGGGAGGAAGTACCCCAGGTGCTCGGTCTTGGCAAGCTGAAGAGAAACTCAAGACTGAACATGACACGCAACATCACATGACTTACGGATCTCTGAAAAAAGCGGCTTACTCACAGAAAGGGTTCGATCATTGGCGGATGCTGACACGACAAGAATAGGCGCGCAAATCTGAAAACAAAGAGTCAAGACCGCCATTTTGCCCTGTCCCGATGGTATTCATGTAGCCAACTCAAATGCATACTCACAAGGTGGCAGTCAGCATTCATTGACCGGGGTCCTTCTGGACCCCCGCAACATCCTTTCCAGCAACCGTTTCTGCCATGGAGAACAAAGCCCCTGCGAAAAAGACGTGCCCAGCCTCAATCGAGTGCAACGGCTCACCTGACACAGATTCGCAACTTCAATCTTTGCAATGGTAGTGCTACATTGTACCCACCTTCAACGTGCTTTTGCTTCTGTCCCTAGGCGCAAGAAAGACTCACTTTCAGGCAGGTCTACGGATTTTACATGGGTCCCCATCGGTCCCATTGTGTTGGTTAACACTGGTAGGGAGCAAGGGTTGACCAATCACTGGTCGGACACGAAATGATGCCACAAAATGGAAAAAGTGGTTGGAGAATCACAACCACAAGCCCATGGCACTTTTCTGATACACGCGGAACCGTCCCAGCTGTGCCTATGTCGCACAGCGCTTGAAGCCAATCATATTGGCAAGTCATTGACTGGTAAAATGCGATACAAGGTCAAGGCAACTGGCTCAAATCAACACGGATCAAAAATTTTCTTCTTGCCTTGACATGGAGTCTTCAGATTTATCTTGGCACAAAAATCGAGGTTTTCTTCGGAGGGCTCGCTTCTTCTTGGCACTAACAAAAGAAGGATCGAAAAACAAGGAAATTTCCTGTCTTTGAAACACTTTCAAGAAGGACTCATAATGAAAAGCTTTAGAAAGGGCATCCGCCAATTGCTGATCTGAATCCACCCACCGGCAATCAATCCCAGCGGCCGAGAGGCGATCTCGGTATGACAGTACTTCGACTGCCAGTCTTCTCTCTTCCAATTGTAATCCAGATGTTTCGATGCGCATAACTGAATCGTACATGTTTTTACTGTCAGTAACAATAATGGATTTCATCTTTTGCAAACAAGCATCCAAAACATTCAAAGAAATGTTTTTCTCATTCAACAGATCCAACAAAAACTGCTTCAAAAACTCATGACCATCAACAGCAGTAGAAGCCATCTGAATCTCTGCAGCCGTTGAAGATCGGCAGACCCTGGGAAGCCGTTTGGATTGCCAAGACACCGGAGAAAAGGGACACGCCTGACCCTTAAGAATGTTTTCGCTCGTAAGCACTGTCACCATTCCACCCTGACTGGACAGATCCCGTCGGTTACTCCAAGAAGCATCATGAAAGGTAACCAGCAGAGGTTTGTCAATTTGGGAAGAAAAGAAAACAGGAGTGTTACTGTAGTGTCTCTGAGCTCTAACCAGTTTGCCGAGTTCCAGGGCATCTTCCACAGTGGCAGTTTGGTAGCAGCCCTGTAGATACGACGTGCTCGCACAAAGCCAAGGAGCAGTTTGAGTCGACCTCCATGCAAGTGCCCCCAAAATGACCCTGAATTGTTTCCTTTCGACCTCTGTCAGAGGAGCATCTTTGTTTTGTTTTCTCTCCCGTGTAAAGTTGATTTCGGAAATGGAATCCGCATACTTTTCTTGATTCAGCTCAATGGAAAAATCTTTGTTCTGTTTCAGCTCACTACCACAGAAAGTAATTGATTCTTTCATAGCTGATTTCCAAGCACCAAAAGGAAACGACTGTTTGAGTTCATGAATCTTAGAACGAAAGTATTCATCATGAGCAGAACCACAAACCAACAAATCATCAACATGACCACCAATTAAACCACAGAGTTGAGAATTTTGGTACAGTTTCCAGACACACGGTTCAAGTCGGCAGCGGATCCAACCTTGGGAACACAAAACCGAATCAAGTTTTTGAAACCACGCTCGCGGCGCATGTAAGAGCCCATATATAGCCTTTAAAACTCGAAACAGTTCATGTGGTCGCATGCCAAGCATCTCTTTAACCTCGTCAGGAGGTTCGGCGTAGATTTCTCGTTGATATTCAGTGTGATCCCCACTTAGAAAGGCAGTTTTAATATCGCCAGTTTCGACTTCCCAGTGCCACATCGACGCCAGGGAGAGAATGGTATTTCGGGATTGAGTATTTAAGGTGGGACTATCTTTGCGGAGATTCAAAATATCAGGATCTTGAAACCCTTTTATGATAAGTCGCGCCTTAGGTCGTTGTCCGATCTTCTGACCCTCTTTATTTATGTCACTTTTCCAAGTTAAAACCCATCTCATACCCAAAATACGTTCTTGGGGTACCCCATGACGAGATGCAATGGAAACCGCTTCATGTTCAAGATATGACCCTACCTCGGCTTGCATGGCTCGTAGAAAATCCAATTTATCACCATCGCTCAAATGCCTATACTGGACCTCAGCTCGGCGTTTGGGTTTTTCATTCAGTTTCCACTCCTTAGTGCCGTTCCTATTAACTTGGTGAACGTCTCTACCAGTAACAGTCAGCACAATTTCACAACATGACATCTGTTCGTCACAACATTGCTGAAAAAGGGCATAACTGACAGGCATCTCGGAAGTGTCCTTGCAAGAAGGTCGTGGTTTCGGAAGTTTCTCATTGACCGGTTTTGGAAGTTTCTCACTGGCTTCCAACTGGCTGTTCATGGCATGTTGAACTCGGGAAAAGCAGCCTAAGTTGAGATCCTCAACGTAATCCAACTCTTGAGTTCTTTTGGGGTTCCAATCCCTCGGCAACTGACAGTTTCCAACAGTGTCATCAACATCATCATCACCATCATTTTCATCAACATGTTCAGGGAAATGGATCTCAACACCATCCCGTGATTGCAAGCTGACTGGATGGGGTGATCGGCTACGATTCCGGCGGCCGCTCAGACTCACTTGGGCACCACTTGGAACTCGATCTGGTTGAGCCGGTGTTCTTGGTTCTCTTGGTTTGTCTGGATCTGCTGAATCGCGCCCAAGCTCTGATGAAGAAGCACCTGCTGCTGACTGCTGGACTGTTGCATGTCGTCCAGTCGCAGCTTCAGTTCGCTGAATGCTCCCATCATGGACTTGAACATCTCCTGAGTTTCGTTGTTTGTGGACTCCTTCATGGTGGCTGGCGTCATCTCTTCCCAATCGCTCTCGGTCTCGTCGGTTGTCGGCAATTTTCCAGAAGGTCGCATGGTCTCCATCTTCCTGGTTGGAGGCGTCAGACTGGCTGATCCCTGGGGATAGCCCTCGGACTTCTCCTCCATCCCCTTGGTAAACTCGACGAGATTGATGAAGTTGGGTTCTGCTTTCTTGTGTTGGATCAGCCAAATCACGTACTCCAGGTGCTCTGTGTAGACCTGATTCACAGTTTGGCCGCGACAGCGACCCCTGGTGATCATCTCGGCCCCCAGCTCCTTCAGCGGGAGACTCCTGCAGCGGTTCACCTCCTGGGAGACAAGCTTGTCCTGTTCCGCCTGTCCCTGGCGGCTGACCTTCTGCTGCAGCTTCTGAATCAGCTGGTCTTGGGAAGATGCCATATCGGGCCGCTTGCTTATAGTTCGCACGGATCAGCCGTGCACCAGGGCTTGCTTGAGCCGATTGCTGCTGTTGAGGAGGTTCATCCTCATGAATCTCAGAGTCCATTGGTTCATCTTCCAAGTCTTGGCTAATGTCGCGATAATTGGTTTTGTTTCCTGCGTTTTTGATGTCTTGATACACAGAACTCGGCTTCAACTGATTAGACAAGTCTTGCAACTGTCTAGTTACTTTTCTCAGCTGCTCCGGTGCACACCGATACAGGGTGGTCCCATGACTGACCCAAATGATGGAACCCTGACTCATGTTGTCATCAGGGTTGCCTTGCTTTTCAGTGCCAACAACGCGGGCCGGACCATACCAGCCTGCATGATTCCTACTAGCCGCACTTTTGCCCTTTCGATAGAAATAAACAAGTTGACCAACCTCAAACAGTTCAACTCGACGGGCTTTGCCTTTTTCCGCTCGGAGAATGCGACGGCGTGAGTCCGCACGGAGGAACGCTTCTTTGGCACTTTGGATTCTCTGCAGATTCTGTTCAAAAGTAATTTCGTGATTTCTCCGACTTTGTGTCGGAAGGTGATCACCCTTCTCCAGCCATGACTCGATACTACTTCTTTCAACACC